AAATATTTACTTATTTTTATTGGAAAGGCAGATACAGAGAGGAGACAGAGATAGATCTTCTGTCCGCTGATTCACTCCCATGTGGCAAGAACAGGTGGAGCTAAGCCGATTCGAAGTCAAGAGCCAGAAACCTCCTCCAGGTCTCCCAAGACTTTGAGCTGTCCTCTACAGCTTTCCCAGGCCACAAGCAGGAAGCTGGATGGGAAGTGGAGCAGCTGGGTCAAAAACTGGCGTCCATTTGGGGTCCTGGCAGATTCAAGGCAAGGACCTTAGCCACTAGGCTATTGTGATAAGCCCAGCTAAAGAAATCTTAGACAACAAAAACAATGGTGAAGGCATCAAGATATAATAACTAATAAAAACAGTCTGGTGCTGGCACAAAAACAGACAAGAAGTTCAATGCAACAGAACAGAAATCTCAAAAATGAACCCTTGTATCTATAGCAAACTAATTTTTGACAAATCAACCCAGGGAAAAAGGAAAAAGGACAGCCTCTTCAACAAATAGTGCTGGGAAATATATAGAAATATGTAGAAATCAATTCTAAACATATCAAGGATCTAAATCCATGACCTGAAACCATCAAATTACTAGAAGAAAACAATGGGACACTCTTCAAGACATAACGATAGGCAAAGATCTCTTGGAAAAGATCCCAGAAGTACTAGCAATTAAACAAGTGGGCTTACTTCAAGCTAAGAAGCATCTGTATTACAAAGAAAACAATAAAATGAAGAGGCAGCCAACAGAATGAGAGAAAATATTTGTAAACTATGCGACTGATCAAGGATTAAATTCCAGGATCTAAATAAGCTAAAAGCTAAAGAAATTCAACAAGACACACAATCCAATCAAGAAAATGTGCAAAGAACATGAACAAATATGCTTTCTAAAGGATGAAAATCTAATGGTAAACCAACACATTAAAAATGCTCAGGAGCACTATCCATCAGGGAAATGCAAATAAAAACCACAATGATGTTTTACTATACCCTAGTTAGAATAGCTATCATACAGAAATCAGAAAACAATAAATGTTGGTGAGGATGGGAGAAAAATGTGTCCTAATCCATTGGTGGTGGGAATGTAAACTAGTGCAACCTTTATATAAGACAGCACATGGAAATCTGAAAATAGATCTACTATATGATTCAGCCATCCCACCTCTGGGAATTTACCCAAGTGAAACAAAGTTAGAGTATGAGAGTTATCTGTAACCTCATATTTATAGTAGTTCAATTCACAGTAGCTAAGATATGGAATCAACCCAGATGCCGACCAGCTGATGATCAGATAAAGAAAGGTGGTGGGCCCATTGTGATGGCTCCATCCTTGCCTTACACACACTGGGATCGCACATGGGTGCCAGTTTGTGTCCTGGTTGATTCACTTCCCACCAGCTCCCTGCTAGCCTGCTGGCCTGCTGGCCTGGGAAAGCAATGGGGATGGCCCAAAGCCTTGGGATCCTACACCCTCATGGGAGACCCAGAAGAAGTCCTGGTTCCTGGCTTTTGATTGGCTCAGCTCCGGCCGTTGTGGCTATTTGGGGAGTGAACCAGTGAATGGAAGATCTTTCTGTCTCTCCTTCTCTCTATAATATGCCTTTCCAACAAACATAAATATTTAAATATTTTAAAAGAAAATATTTTAAATATATACTACGGAATCCTATTCAGTCATAAAAACAAATGAACTTTTGTCTTCTGCAACTAAATGGATGCAACTGGAAACCATTATGCTTATTGAAAAAAGCCAGTATGCTGTATCAGAGCTTCAGTTGTAACCCTGGCTGTTTCACATTCAATTCGGCTCTTTGCTAAAATGCCTGGGAAAATAATGGAAGATGGTCCAGACACCTGGACCTCTGCTACCCATGTGATAGGCCAGCATGGAGTTCCAGGCTTCAACCCACCCGACAGTTGCCATCATGTGGGAAGTGAACCAGTGATTGGAGATCTCTTTTTCTTTTTTGGCTTCTCCCCTTTATATCTCCATCACTTTACCTTTCAACTAAATACAATACATTTTAAAAGTGAATCAGAAACTACAATATTTATAAAAAAATTACAAGTTGTAAGTGCCCCAAATCCAAAGTTTTGGTAAATGCTGTAGATAACTTTCCAAATCACTGCACCGAGATGCCAGCACCAAACTTAACATACTCTTTACCCATTTCACAAGAAGTTTCAAGCCTTTGAAAATATAAGTAAAAATCAAGGACATATAAACATAAAAATATAGATAATAAATGCCAGTTTAAAAGCCAACAGCATTACACACTTACCTTTCAACTTTTAAGAAGCAAAAGTTAAAGAGAAATCAGTTATAAAGCAAACAAAATACAAAGAATCAAAATTTATGATTTAAAAAATCAGGCAATATCAAAAAGAATTTTTTTTTCTGTTTACTGAATTCCTAAACAAATTATTCATAGGACTGGACAGGTTTCAAAGGAACAAAGACTTTCAACAGCTTAATTCAGCACAAATACATAAGTTGGGAACAGTTCAGGTTCATCTACAGAAGGAATTGTTGCACTTTATGCCAAATGTCAAGACTAAAAAATATTAAGTTTGTTTACACTGACAGCAAGCTCTGGAAATAATATGAACCTCTTCGATATTGAGGGGGAATCTCTGGGGAATGCCACAGCTAAGACCTCTCAAATGCACTCACCCCTCTTGTCGCGACTCAGGAACACATTCGGGAGGAATACTGTTCCTCTCCATTTCTCTCAGGTCTCGTTCCGGGACAGCCGCGGCCACCACAGCACACAACCAGGCCAAAGCTCATCCAAACCAGCGGCTCCTACCAGGACCACCGCGGCCCTGAGGGAATCCGGCGTTGTAACCCGCACCACGAACAGCGGAACGCTTCGAAGGTTCCCGAAGCGCGCTCGGCCGCTGCGCCGGGAGGCCACGCCGCGCATGCTCCGGAGCCGCCTGCGTTGCCGGCGCGGAGAGCGCGCGAGAGCGCTGGTAGCGGGCGGTGGGCGTGAGGGACGCGGTCCGCAGCCGTGCGGGCGGTTAGTGCTGGGTGCGTCCTGCTTTTACTGCTTCGAGAAACAGAAATCCCCACAGGTGAATGTCCCGTCCCGGTTAGTCTCTCCGGAACTCTGAGTGAGACTTTGCTGTGTGGGAAGAATCGGCGGGGCAGGCGTGAGACCAGGCACAGGGCAATGGGAGTTGTAGTGTGCTCCTGACAGACTCATTGGTCATTCCTTTATTGATGCTGAAGAGGTTGAAAATGACCGCGTTTTACGGCGTCAGAGCCGTGCTTGATTTTCATTCGATAAGGTGGGCGTGGTGCCTGGTGCTCACCTGACTGGAGAGCGTTGGTGGGCCATGGAGCATGTCCACAGAATAAGAAAGATGAACGTGCTAGGGAGAGTGTAATGTAAGTGCTACTGGGGGGCCAGAGCCAGGGACCTCCCGAAAGGTGTGGGGTTTGAACAGGGAACTCTCTTAGTTGGAGGAAGTTGCAAAAATCAAAGGGTGAGTGTGCAAGGGAGTATCAACAAGTGTGTCATCAGGCTGTAGCTGAAGGGTTAAATCCGAGAGTGGCACGCAGGTCTGAGGTGGTGAAGGGCTTTCTTCAAAGAGGGGAGGGGTGGAGAAAAACAAAAAACAGGACTTTGAGTTTCTGGGCTTAAGGGCCATTGGTTATTCTGTAAATTAACTTTTTTTTTTAAATTAAATTGAGCAGTTGTGAGTAGCAAGATTACATTGCACTGTATGTGTGTGCACTAGATATGAACTTGTAAAAGTATGTCACAGTTTTGCAGCCTGCCTCTCTGTATTTTATGTAGCAGTTGCCCCCCTCCCCCCTTTTCTAGAAGTAGACACAAATCTTGCTTGACCTGTAAAACAGCAGGTTGTGATGTCTGGGAACTTGGGCCAGTGAGTGATTTAGCTTTGTTGCCTTTAAAAGATGTGTGAATTCACCAACCAAAAGCATTTCTAAGGCTACTAGTTTCTGATTTTGTAAATTAAGATCACAACCAAGTGTGCTGATTTTCAAGCACACTAGTAATGAAATGCCAGGAAGCCATGATACTTTTTTATACACAGTCATGTTGCGGCTGTATCACGCTTAAACTAGGGGTAAACATTGGAAATTCTCTCCAGCTTTGCTTTGTCTAACATACCAATTGCTCACCAAATCCAATGAATTCTGCCTTCTAAATTAATTTCTTCTTTTCATTCCTATTTCCACTTTTAAAATTCAGATATCTAGTATCTCTCATTGGGGCTTTTATGGTAGAATCTTAATCTCCCTACTTTGGGCTATATTTAATTTGATTCTTTATTCTTTATTCCGTCACTATTGGTTTTGTAAATTTAAGAGTAGGGGAGTTACATTCATATTTTAACTGAAGTAATTACTGAGTATTTTGGAAAAAAAAGTGACACTTTATTACTAATCACTTTCTTTGTATTGTTTTTGTGAAAGTGATTTTTTTCATATCTTATTAGCATGTAGTGGAGATAATGGCTTTTATTTTTTTAAAAAAGTTTTTTTCTAAATTTTTATATTTTATATTTTTATTGGAAAGTGAGATGTACAGAGAGAAGGAAAGACAGAGAGTAAGATCTTCCATCCCATGATTCATTCCCCAAGTGGCTGCAACAGCTGAAGATGAGCCGATCCGAAGCCAGGAACCAGGAGCTTCTTCCAGGTCTCCCACATGGGTGCAGGGTCCCAAAGCTTTGGGCTGTCCTTGACTGTTTTCCCAGGCTACAAGCAGGGAGCTGGATGGGAAGCAGGGCTGCTGGGATTAGAATCAGCACCCATATAGTGTCCTAGCACATTCAAGACAAGGACTTCAGCCACTAGGCTATCATGCTGGGCTCACATATACTCTTTTATTTGTATCATGACCTAATGATTAAAGATAAATTCACACAGAAAAAAAAAACCAATGATTTTCTTTCAATAAGATGATATACTATTCTTAATATTTCCCATTTATTTAGGAAGTGGGGGAGAAAGATACATCATGAAAAAAATCTCAAAGAGAAGAGAAGATATTAAAAAAAGGGTGAGGTATTAATAGAATTTGTAAGGATTTTGCTCATTTAAAAATGCTAAGTTATAAATATATGGTAATCCTTATAAATATGATAATTTGGTTCTGTGTGTAAATCATATCTTCATATATTAAATAGGGGAGCTTAGGAAAGTATTGTATTCTTGTTGAATCCGTCATTCATTTAATGTGGCACATTAGAAATGAGATACTCATTTATTTATATATGCTCTTAAAAATGGATTTCTTTTCTGTCTCAGCCAGTCATTAAAGTCAATCCCAGATTTGCTCAAAAAGAGTTTTAACTTGTCAGTGAAATATGTTTCAGGATGTATCTCTTAGAACAACTCCAATTAAGCTTAGTATTTTATTCCTGCCTTCTAGATGGAAATGGGAAGTTGTGAAAAAATGTCTACAATCCTGGAAATGGTGGGTGAGATTATTGAAATGCACTGTATTACGAATCATTTAATAGGGTTGACACTCCATGATATGTTCAGATGTTGTTATACCTTGATCAAGAGTAGAGTTACACATTTTTAGTTGGTCTGTGGTAAGTAATGCAGGTCAAATAATAAGGTAGCTGCTGGTCCATGATAACCTGCTTCAGTAGTATGCTCAGAAGTTACTTTACAAAGTTTATAGCCTGGACTCTTAAGATAGTATGTTGTGGGAGGCGAGGTGGGGCTTTTCTCCTTGTTTCTCCCCTGATCCCAGAAACAGGGAAAAAAATGATGATATTAGTGTGGAAACAATGGTATTACACAGTAAAAAAAAAAAAAAAGATAGTATGTTGTGTTATGATATGTCAGTACTCCATGTCTTAAGCTATTTTTGTTGCTATAATAACATACCTGAGACAGGGTATTTTACATTTTTTTAAAAGATTTATTTTTATTATTTTTTTATTGGAAAGGCAGATATACAGAGAGGAGAGACAGAGAGGAAGATCTTCCCTCCGATGATTCACTCCCCAAGTGAGCGCAATGGCTCATGCTATGCCGATCTGAAGCCAGGAGACTCTTTTGGGTCTCCCACGCGGGTGCAGGGTCCCAAAGCTTTGGGCTGTCCTCGACTGCTTTCCCAGGCCACAGGCAGGGAGCTGGAAGGGAAGCGGGGCTGCCGGGATAGAACTGGCGCCCATATGGGATCCCGGGCATGCAAGGTGAGGACCTTAACCACTTGCGCCACCGTGCCGGGCCCGTATTTTACATTTTTAAAAAGATTTATCCATTTTTATTGGAAAGTCAGATACACAGAGAAGATGAGAGACAGAAAGATCCTCCGTCTTATGACCCTTCCCCCCCCAAGCATCTGGGCTGAGCCAATCCAAAGCCAGGAGTTAGGAGGCCTCCCCACTCCTGCTACTCCCCTCCCCAACCACCTCCCACCTGGGCACAGGATCAGAGAACCCTTCGCCATTCCCCACTGTCCTCCCAGGCTGCAAGCAGGGAGCCAAGCAGAAAGTGGAGCAGCTGGGACAAGAACCAATACCCACGTGGGATCCTGAACGTACAAGGCAAGGACCTCAGCCACCAGGCTACCACGCTAGGCCTGGGACAGGGTATTTTGTAAAGAGGCTTATTTAACTCACAGTTCTGGAGGTCCAAGAGCATGGTCCTGACAGGTCTTACTAAGACCCAATGAAAGCATTCTACAACAGAACATAGTAATGTGTATGAAGTTATGTGATGTGAGAGGAAGCCAGAAGATCCAGATAGCGTTACACTTGCTTTTCTTTTCTTTTGTTTCCTTTTTTCTTTTCTTTCTGCTTTGTTTCTTTTCTTTTTTATAGCACTCCATTCTCAAGGGAACTCATTTAGTCCTATGAGATCCCATCGATTTCCCAAGAACAGCACTAGTCCCTTGTGAGCATGGTCAGTCCCATCGCTTCAAAGTAGCATCACATCTTAACATCATTATTTTCAGGACAAATCTTCCAGCACATGACACTTTGCATGACAATCATATTCAAACCATAATACATCCTGCTTTGATTTTTCACATGATCTATTGTTTTTACTGTTACTGATAACCTGATGTATATCTGTTTGCTCTTCTCTCTTAGTTTCCTATTAGGTTAGTTAACATGTATTATTTTAGAAATCTTTGCTATTATATTAAACTTTAAAGTTAATTAAAACCAAAATCATTTTCCTTATCATTCTAAAAAGAAATTTAACATTATTAGAATAATTTACTTTTAGAATACTGAAATTTAAAGAAACCAGCAAAGAAATGCACGTGCTAAATTTTTTAAATACACAATATTTGACTAGAATTACCAGGAAGCAGCAATAAAATTGTTTTTGATATTCACCAAAATACATACTTGGGAATCCATGGGAATGCATACACTACAAAATCTTGTCATATGGTCACATTCAAGTTGTATAAAGGAGTAGGACTACAGAAGGATGCATATAATGTCAGACCAGAGAGGTAGGATGGTGGAGGGCAAGTGTATAGAAAGTTTACAAAAGAGAAGGGTGCTCAATAATATCAGATACTACAATCAATCAAGTAATAGGTAACATATACATAATGTTGAGTTTTCAAAGTGTTTTCATACGCTGATCTCATTGACCCAAATAAAAGATATATGAACTAGATAATACAAGAACGCTAAGAAATAACCCTTGAATGTTCTCATTAAAATTTCCTTTTTGATATTAAGAGAACAATTTATTAATTTAGAAATCCATGTATAAAGAGATCATACAGGGCCCAGTGAGATGAATCAGTTAGCTAATCCCCGCTTGCAGATACTGGGATCCCATGTGGGTGCCAGTTCATGTCCCAACTGCTCCACTTTCCATCTAGTTCCTTGCTTGTGGACTTGGAAGGCAGCAGAGGATGACCAAAAAGCCTTAGGACTCTGCACCCATGTGGGAGACCTGGAGGAGGTTCCTGGCTCTTGGCTTGGGATCGGCTCAACTCTGTTGCATCCATTTGCAGTGACCCAGTGGATGAAAGATCTTTCTCTCTGCATCTCCTTTTCTCTGTAAACCTGTCTCTCCAATAAAAATAAATAAATATTTTTCAAAAAGAGCTCATACAAGATAACAGAAAGATAAAATTTTAAAAACAGGCAAATGATATAAGTTGATATTTAAGAAGAAATGGCATTTTAATGACTGATGAATTTGTAAGATATTTAGTGAAAAACAAAACTACACAAATTAACTCTCCCCATTTTTTTCAGATGTCAAAAGAGACAAAAAGTATTGCAGTAGAAGGAATTGTAGAGAGACATCTCCAAAAAGGTTCTCTGTATATTATACCACAGCTTTGATATTCTTGGTTTTTATCTTTTTAAATATGTAAATGATTAATCCCATGGTAAAGTTTAAGCTGAGAATATAAAATTTTTTTATTGATTACATTTCATTTTGTGACACAGTTTCATAGGCTCTGGGATTCCTCCAACCCCTCCCCATGCCTCCCCCCATGGTGGATTCCCCCACCTTGTTGCAATATTACAGTTCAAATCCAGTCAAGATTCTTTCATTGCAGGCATATACCAAGCATAAAGTCCAGCATCTTATTGTCCATACATTCAACGGTTCCTGGGGGAGACCCTCTCTGGTCTGAAGGCAGAGCTGACAGAATATCATCCTGACCAAATAAAAGCCCCAAAATAACATCAACAACAATTTACAACATTATGGAGTTAATTGACATGGTCTTGAGTAATCAATATGTTTAAAAATGCAGGTTCTTGACCATATCCTGTGACTACTTCATTGACATTTCAATTTTAGTTTATATACAACCGGCTTCTATACACCTTAAAATGGCTATAGGGTATTATTCAGCTGTTTCGTGTCTATTTTCATTTTAGTATTTATCAATTTATAGTGTTGAACCATAATTTTGCCGAACTTGGCAGTTTTTAGGATAGTCTAAACTGGCTTATAACTCTAACAAGGCATATGTCAGCAGTTGAGATGCAGAACAGTTTTAGGAGAGATGTGCAGAGAAATCTTCGATGCCTTAGTGGGGATTAATTTATCTTTGTGTCCTACCTAGTAAGGTATATGAGAATACAAATTTCTTAAGCAACTAGTTTAACAGAAATTAAACTTTGTAATAAGGCAAAATAGTCATAAGGAAACACATAGAAGAATTGATGTGTATAATTTAGTAAATTCCATTTTTGCTTTATTCTCAGCAAACACAGAAAACTCACTAGTGCTTGAGCCTGACAATAAAGGTGTATGTGTTTTATATATATGTATACTACACATATATCTAATATGTCTGTAAATACACACACCTGCTCAAGAACCCCAAATATCAGATAAAAATATATAAATAATTTAGCCCATGTCATTCATCAATTATTTACTGAACACCTATTATGTGCAGTATGCTACTCTGAATTCTAGTAATAGAGAATAAACAAACTATTAAGTCTTAAATTGTAACAAATAATACTGTAGTTTTAAGAATGAAGATTCTCTTGACCTAAAGTGATTTAGCTTGTTGCTTATCCTTTAATTCCTCTCTCTTCTGCGGAAACTTTAAAGTACTCAAAGAAAGTAAGTACTCCAGAAAAACATGAGGCAAAATGACCAATTGATCCTCCACTTTTTACTGTAACTATAAACTATACACAGTTTTTTCTTAATTCTTCTAGTGGTTCAGCCAGTGGATAAATGGAAAATTACACATAGTTTATAGAGTACACACAACACCTGGAGCCTTCTCTATACATGACAAGACTGGTTCTTCTCAGAGCTGAAAGAAGCAGGGGTCAGAAGTTTTGTACTAATTTTATAAAACTAACATAAGTGATTAAAATGACTACTATAGACTTATTTCTCTTCCTTTCAGATTCCTCTTTGACTTAAATCATGTTGAAGTCACTTGGCTTTGATGTTTGTATAGCTCATGGAACAGTCAATAAATATAAAAATTGCTTAAATGAGCTTTTTTTGGGTGGAGGGTAGGGACAATAGTGGCTACTGTAGCACAAAGAAGGATTCTGGCCAGTAGCAGAGAAAACAGGAAAAGAAGGTGACAAGGGTACAGAAGTCACTGCAAAGAGAAATCAAATTTAATCTTCACTGTTGGAACTATTTATTGTAAATGGAGGAAAAGGAGGGACATTTATCTGTCTTGAGTTCTAAGTTTTTATGGGACAGTGACCCAGTCTTCACACTCATCATAAACCTTAGTTGTGTATGTATTTAAGGTATTTAATACTTTTATTATTATTGCTGCTTAATTATAGGAAAGTATCATAAACTATATTATTTTGGTTTCCTGAAAGATTTAGATGCAGAGGAAAATCAAAACATAATAGAGACTTTGAGAGGCAAAGTAAGAGAAAAGCTGAAAAATGCTAAGGTAATGCGTTTTACAGTTGTTTTCAAAATTGCTTTTTAAATGAGAGTTGTAGCATAATAAACTTCCTATTGCTCAAAAAGGGATGAGACATCCATTTAGCCTGGTGGCTAAGAGTCTGGTTCCTATGCCTATGTGCTGTGTTGGAATACCTGGCCCCAGGTTTTTACTCCAGCTCTCTGCCTGTGCAGACCGTGACAGGAAGATGTGATTGTTCATGTAGTTAGTTCTCTGCTATCCAAGTGGGAAACATGGGGGACATTGTAAGCTTTTAGTGCGTGAACTAGTGGCTGGGAGTTCTCTCTGCCTCTTACTCTCTTTCCTTCTCTGTCTATTGTATCTCTGACTCTCTATCTGATTCTTTGCCACTCAATTTCTTTTTTAAGGAGAGAACTGAAATTCAGTCCTACATAGGTTTGTAATTCCATAAAACTTGAAGTTGTTATTTTTCCCTCTCTTCTAAAGTCCTATATATCAAACCTAAAACCTAGAAAAATAAAATGATTTGATTGGATTAATTATACGTGACATCTAGGGAAGCACACACATACTTTTTTAAAAGGAACACATGGAGAAATCTTGATTTTTAGCTGTCTTGGAAAAAAAGATTTATGAGCGCAATCACGTGTTTCTGTGTGTGTTGTGTTTTAGATTAACCAAGGTGAAAAATCTTCAACTCAACTATGCAAAGGTACTAAGCTACATCAGTCGTCGAAGGTGAATAACTTTTGAACTTTTAAAAACAGCTTTATACACATATACTTACAGATTTTTTAAAAGAAGATTTACTTATTTTTATTGGTAAGGCGGATATACAGAGAGGAGGAGAGACAGAGAGGAAGATCTTCCGTCTGATGGTTCACTCCCCAAGTGACCGCAATGGCTGGTGCTGCACCGATCCGAAGCCAGGAGCCCTCCAAGTATCCCACATGGGTGTAGGGTCTCAAGGCCTTGGGTCATCCTCCACTACTTTCCCAGGCCACAAGCAGGGAGCTGGATGGGAAGTGGAGCTGCCGGGATTAGAACTGACGACCATATGGGATACAGGCATGTGCAAGGCAAGGACCTCAACCACTATGATATTGCGCCGGACCCCAGATTTTGTTTTAAAAACTTAGTATACAATGGTATATTTAATACTTAAGATGACAAAAGCATTCTTATTTTGGGGGAACCGTATTATGTAGAATGTGGGTTAAGGAGCTGTAACAACAAAGATGTAGGTTAGTGTCTTAATTAATATAGAATTTTACTTCTCTCAGGTGTAACTGATTAGCAGTACAGGCTTGGCAGGGCACTTCTGCCAATTCCAATATGTAGACCTCATCTCTGAGACTGTGCAAAGCTCTCATTACTGCATTTCATGGCCAAAGGAAACAGAAGAGAGAGGCAAAGGAGTGCAGGGTGCTCTTATATATGGGTAAATATTTGTAAACTGCACACCTCATTGCTGTGAAAAGAACATGGGGAAATGTCTAGGTACACCAGCTAAAAGTAAACTCTATTAGAGATGGGGAGTGGTACGGGGAAGACCACAAAAACAACTAGTAGTTTCTGCAACAAGCAAACAAAGACTCTAACGTGGACTACTTCAACCAGTGGATTCTGGAGAGATTTCATCATGCTTGGAGTGACGAAAGCCACAGTAATTCAGCCTGTTGATCTATGGAAACCTCTTGAGCAGGACCCTCAGAGAATGCCCCATATCGGTGACCCTGGGGTGGTGTTGCGAGGCTGTTTTTCAGCTTAGGGTGCCTAGGCATTTGGGAAGCTGGGTGTGGCTTCTCTGCTTGACCAACCTCTTTCCCCAGAATCAGGAAGGAAAAAAAAAAAAAGAGAACGTGGAAATAATGATCTCACCCACTTTCCTATAGTTCTTGATCCTTATCACCCTAATCAAGTATCATGAAAAATAAATACAATCAATAAAAAAAAGTTTTAGAAACAACTCTTGAACCAACTGTACTGAAAGCTAAATGTAACTTGATATTCTTTGTGCTACTTTCCTTCTTTTTTTAGATAAGATAGTGTTTAACATTATAGAAAAGTATTCCTGTTACTTATTGGCAGAAGTATTCATTTCAATGCTAAATGCTACTTTATCATTGTTTAATGCACAGCATGAGGTTTTGTTGGATGAAGGTCTTTCGTTTTTCATTCTGAGTGGTGACGAAGGCTCGACTTTTTATCAATCTTCAGAGCAGGTTGGACTTGTCTCTTTCTATAACATCTCTTAAGAAAATAACTTTTCATTAAGGACATATAATGAAATATTTGAAATGGGGTGGGTTTTTTTTTTAGCCTTCTTGCCTTTGAATTAAACCTTTGAATTGTCTAACATTAATGTGAGTGCTTACGGGATGCCTAATGAAGACCAGGATGATGCTCTGGAGCAGCAACTAAGTGAGGAATAGTTGGGTGTGTTGGGCTTGTATCGGTTGAGATCACAACCTGTGTCAGAGAGGTTGATTGGGACTCATAAAAGAGACAGCTGTAATCATAAGTCAGTAGTTATGGCCAAAAATGAGAGTCTGAAATATGCAGACATTTTTAAATCTTTGTTACATTTTGTAATTATTATTTTCCACTATACAGTTTTATAGGTAGAGAAATTCTCCCTTTCCCTCCTCGTCCCTTGCCCTTCTCCCCTCCCTGTTGTACACTGTATTTTGCAATAATATAGTCCTTTGGCTGCTGATTCCAACATCCAGCTACTTATGGGTGTTATGACTTATGGGTGTAGTTATAGGCAGCAATGGAGAATCTAGCATTTTGTTGTCAAGGTGTATTTAACAATTTCATTGTGGGTCCTCCTTTTATTTGGGAGTAAAGATGCCTACTCTGATTTTTGTTTCCCAGTACTCTAATCTTTACATCATTTGTTTGTGAGAAAATGTAAGTGTGCACTTGTTATCTATGTAACTTTTTGTTTTAAATTTTGAATGAAAGTTGCCTTATGTCAGAGAGAACATGTGATATTTGTCCATTTGGGATTGAGCTATTTCACTGCACATAGTGGTCTCCAGTTGAAACCACATTGTTGCAAATAGTAGAAGTTCATTCTTCTTAATGACTGAATAGTAGCCCATAGAATAGATGTACCACTGTTTCTTTATTCAGTCTTCTTTCGACAAGCATCTCTAGGTTGTTTCCATGTCTTTGCTATTGTGAATCTTAACTGAAATAAATATAGGAATGCAGGTGGCTTTCTCATATGTAGATTTCACTTTTTTTAATTAAATAATTTTTCCATTATGCTGTTTTGTAGGTATTAGTTTTCCCTTCATTTCTGTTTCCTCCCTCCCCTTTGTCTCTCACCCCCCATTTTGCTTTGTGTTTTATAATAGTATAGTCTTGCAGCTACAGTCCCAGTTGCTGCATTCCTCTGTTAATGTGTATCACAGCATTGCTGCTACAGGCAGTGGTAAGGAATCTTAGTATCTTGTTGTTAATGTGTATTTAACAGTTTCATTGGGGGTCCTTTTAAATTTGAGTGTAGAGGTGTGGGCCTGGTGTAGTGGCTTATTTGCTAATCCTCCCCCTTCAAGCACTGGGATTGCATAGGGGTGCCAGGTCGTGTCTCGACTGCTCCACTTCCCATCCAGCTCCTTGCTTGTGGCCTGGGAGAGCAGTAGAATCATATCATATGGCAACAGGGATAATTTTAATTCTTTATTTCCAACTTTAATTCCTTCAATTTCTTTCTCTTGCCTAATAGGTCTAGTGAGGACTTGCAATACTGTGTTGAATAGCAGTGGCGATAGCAGACATCCTTATCCCATTCCAGATCTTAGTGGGAAATCTTCAATCTTTCCACATTTAGTATGATACTGGTATTTGATTTTTTGTAAACTGCTTTGATTGTGTTGTAGAATGTTCCTTTTGTGCCTATCGTGCTTAGGTTTCTTAGCTTGAAGCAGTACTGAATTTTATCAAATACGTTCTCTGTACCTATTGAGATGATTTTTATTTTTCAATTTGTTGTGGTGGTGAGTCACATTTATTAACTTGCAAATGTTAAACCATCCCTGCATGCCTGGGATAAATCTCACCTGGGGGGTGAATGATTTGCCTGATGTATTGTTGGATTCTGTTGGCTAGAATTTTATTGTGGATTCTTAGTCTGTATTCATCAGAGGTATCGGTCTGTAGTTCTCCTTTTCTGTTGTGTCTCTATGTGGCTTTGAGATTAAGGTGATGTTGGCTTTAGAGAAGGAGTTTGGAGGGATTGCCTCCGTTTCTATTTTCTTATGTAGGTTGTGGAGAATTGGGATCAGTTCTTGTAGCTATCTGATCCTGGCCTTTTGTTTGTTGGAAGCTTTAATTACTGATTCAATATACATCCTAGCTATAGATTTATTTAAATTTTCTATTTCCTCATGATTCAATTTTGGTAAACTGTATGTATCCAGGCATCTACTTCTTGTAGGTCTTCTGATTTGTTGATGCATAGTTCCTTGTAGTAGCTCCTGATTGTTCTATGTATGTCTGAGATATATGTTGTTATGTTTTCTTTTTCATCTCTGATTCTATTGGTTCATGTTTTCTCCCTCTTTTCTGCCCTTTGATTTTCAGTTTCTGCCTATGTTTGGTAGTGTGATGTGTCTCCTGTAGGCCACAAATAGATAGGTCGTATTTTTCAGATATAGTCTGCTAATATGTCTTATGAATTTAATCCATTTGTGTTCATGGTTAATATTGACAGGTAGCAGTTTGGTCTTGTCATTTTTGTGTTGGCTTTTTCATTGTGTTTTATTGGGTAGTTCTACCCATTTGCCATCATTAAGTGTGGCTGTAATGTGTGTAGGATTGGTCTGGTAGTGGTGAAGTTTTCAGCTTTTGTTTGCTTTGGAAATATTTTTACTTAATTTTGAAATACAAATGATAGCTTTGCTGGGTTGACCTTTTTTTTTTTCCATCTGGAATATATGACTCCATTCTTTTCTGGCCAAAAAGATCTCCACTAGAAGACAGCAATAAGTCTGATTGGTGTTCCCCAATACGTTATCTTTATCATGTACCTATTTCAGTATCTTTTCTTTGTGTTCAGTTAAAGGGAGCTTGATAATGATGTGTCAACATGAGCATTATTTCTGATCCAATCTGGGGTTCTCTGCCCTTCCTGTATTTGGCATCCCCTTACATTCCCAATGTTTGGAAAGTTCCCTTTTATAATTTCATTGAATACATCTTCCAATCCTATTTTTCTTTCCATGCCATGCCATATCACCTTTATATTTGACCTTTTAATGGTGTTATTTAAATCTTGGATAGTTTTCATAGCTTTATTTAGTTCCTCTTCCATATTTTGTATTGTTTATGCATTCTCAAATGATGTGTCTTCTAATTCTGAAGTTCTTTCTTCTGCCTCACTGTTTCTATTGGCAAAGCTTTCCACTGTTGTTGTTGTGTGTATGTTTAATTTTCTCTGTTGTATTCTTCAGTCCAAGTATTTGAATTTGATTCTGTTTTACAGCCCGTATATCCTTTGTTATATATTGATTCCATTCTTGCCTTTGCCTATAGGAAAATCATATGATAAATCTTAAATGAGTTTCTTTATGTTCAGTGAAATTTCTTTATGATCAGTTTCATCTAGAACTTGATTTGGGTGGTTTGGATCATAAAGACTGTTTTTAGAGGCCAGTATTGTGGCACAGTGAGTTTAGATGCTTTCCTGCCTATCTTCCTGCTAACGCACCTGGAAAATCAGCAGAAGAAGGCCTAAATGCTTGAGCTTTTACCACCCATATGATAGACCTGGTTCCTGGCTTCCACCTGACTGTTATAACCATTTGGAAAAATGGATATCTCTTTTTCTCGTCCGCTCTTCTTTTTTTCCTCCATTTCTCTCTCTTTCCCTCTTTCTTTCTCTCCTACCTCCCTCTCTTCTCCTCTCTATTGCTCTGCCTTTAAATAAGTAAATAAATATTTTTAAAAGAATATACACTTGCTTTTATTTTTGGTGTTTAACAGAGATCAGGAAATGGTAATTACTTTAAAGGCTTTCCACTTGCCGATAATTTGCAAAATATTATTGAAGGCCACGATGAAGATTTTATGGAAGAAGTCATTTTTACAGATTTGCTTGAGGTAAAAGCTGCTGAGTATGAAGATGATCAGGAACAAATGAAAAAACAGGAGGCAAATATTTTTGTGCCAAGTAGCTCTCCAGGTAATATCATTTTCCAATACGATATTCAATTATTCATGAATTTATATTATGGGATAATTGCTTCTGTGGATAAATAGAAAATACTGAACTAAAATTACAGTAAGTTTTCTACATTTTTAATGCATTTTGTGAGTTAAGAAAATTAAGGAAATTTGTTCATCATATGTATTTTGTACTTCAAGAAGTTCACATAAAATGATAAGTTTCCCCTGGTGCAAACATTTTTAAAAATCATGCAGTTTTTCTGTAACATGCATTTGCATGACCTTTTTGAGGATCCTTTGTGTGTGTGTGTGTGTGTGTGTGTGTGTGTGTGTGTGTGCATGTATATGAAGCATACACTGCTGCACTTCGTTTTGAGGGAATGTAACATAATGGTAGCTCATTTGTGCTAGCTATTTGATCAATACCAATTCAATATCTTATACTTTAAGCTAATTAAGTACATTTTGTTATTAAGTGATCAACCAGCGTAAACTGCCAAGAGACATGACGCCACGCATTCTAGAAGATGAAGGATTGTATATACAAAAAAAGCCAGAAATATGTAGAAAAACCTGTAACAAAATGGAAAATCGCCTACTTAAACTGGAAGAGGCAAGTGTGCTTGTTAACAGGCTACTCAATGATAATATATGATACTTCAGTGAAATATTTAATTACTAGATTTCTTAAATATTGTTGATAGGGAAAATATTGGTTTGAAGAGAGTGGAGAAATAATGTCATTACCTTCACCTATTAAGCAGTCATGGAATTTCAGACTAAATATAAGCAAGGAATCTTTAAATCCAGCACTGAAGACCATATACAGGAAGGTAACCAACAGCATTTTACTTGTAATTAAGGTTCGGGTTTTTTTTTTAAGATTTATTTATTTTTATTGCAAAGTCAGATATCTATATGTAGATATTGATATCTACATATATAGAGAAAGAAAGAGAGAGGTGGGGTGGAGGAAGAGAGGAAGATCTTTTGTCCAATGATTTACTCCCTAACCAGCCGCAACAAAGCCAGGAGCAAGGAGCCTCTTCCAAGTCTCCCACATGGGTGTAGCCTTGGGCTGTCCTCTACTGCTTTCCCAGGCCACGAACAGGGACCTGGATGGAAAGCGGGGCTGTCGGGGTTAGAACCAGCACCACACCCAAGGCAAGAACTCTAGCCGCTGGGCTACCGTGCTGGGCCCAAGGTTCAATTTTTTATGTTATTAGTTATAACATATGTTTCTGTGGTGTACATTTACCCTTTAAAGTTATTGCCTGGTACAGTGAGAAACTATTGAATAGAAGTTAGAATTATGTTTTTAAGAAATATTTAATGATAAGAAATCCTCAAAGTATAATGTAAAGTGAATAAAATAGAATGTAACATTACACATGACCCTAATTTTATAAAATAGATAGCGAGTGAACAAATGATTCTTGGGTTATCATTTAAACTTCTACTTGGAAATTATTGTTACCTGTTAGTTTTTCATATTTGCACAAATAGGCTATATGCTGTGTTTTACTGTTGTATAAACGTTTATTCTCTGGGACCTGGTGGGGAAAGAGAGAGAATGAGAATCTTCTAACTGTTGGTTTCCTCTCCGAATGACCAAAATGGCAGGAATAGAAGGAACACCCTATGGTTTAGTTGCTATTTTTAAATTGGCCAGTTGTACTTTCTGGTGAATTTCTGTGGACTTTTGAAGATTTTGTTGTTGTCAGCGGCATCAGATGTCCCATTGTTTCTCTCTGCTTTCTTCTACATAATTAATGATGCTAGGCAAGTCTTCTGAATATTTATGGATTGTTGCTATTCATTTGTATTTCGAGTTTGTTGTATGGCATATAGCCTAGTTTTGTATAAATATTATCCATAGATTGTTGACTTTTATGTTAATTGTTCTTATTGTACTGTAGGGATTTTGGAGAATCTAAAACTATACCATACTTATATTACCAGAATAACCCAGTAATAAATTCTTAATTTCAGATTTTGTAGTATAGTTTTAGCACTAATGTGCCCAATTGACATTTTGTTCTCCCCTAAATATTCTAATTTTCCCAAGAATGCTCCAAGTTTTATGCGTTTAATTATATTTTTAACATACTAATCATAGCTACCACTAATAATATCTGTATTAGCTTTTCACTAGTTAAAATATCATCTTAGAAAGCAAAAAGGTTTATCTTGACTCACATTTTGGAGGTGCATAGACAAGACTGGCAGCTGTGTTAGTTTAAGCATCGGAAGATGCCCAAGGATTGCAGAAAGATGATCACATGGGGAACAAGGAAGTGGGCAGATAGGAAGCAGTGCTCTTCCTCTGCTCACAATGTGGTCTCTCCATCATGGTCGATCATGTGCTCTACCCTATCAGCCACTGATGCAAGGCCCCTTCTTTGGACACCATGATTTGATTAGGTGCCAGCCTTACTCTGTTATTTTAAGATTCTGTGGATCAACACTTTTTAAATACATGGACCTTTGGAGGAAAAAACAAATTATTTTCCAAACCATAACAATATCAGATAATTAATATTTTGTTCATTGTAAGTTTGTTTTCATTATTCTTTCTATGGATTTTGGTCATTTTGTTCTAGTTTGTACTATGATTTTTTTAAGATGTATTTATTTTTATTGCAAAGTCAGATATACAGAGAAGAGGAGAGACAGAGAGAAATATCTTCCATCCAATGTTTCACTCCCCAAGTGACTGCAACAGCCTGTGCTGCACAGATCTGAAGCCGGAACCTCTTCCGCGTGTCCCACACGGGTGCAGGGTCCCAAAGCTTTGGGCCGTCCTTGATTGCCTTCCCAGGCCACAAGCAGGGAGCTGGATGGGAAGTGGAGCTGCCAGGATAGAACCGGCACCCATATAGGATCCCGGCGCATTCAAGGCGAGGACTTTAGCCACTAGGCCATGCCACCGGGCCCTGACATGATATTTTTATAAAGAAAAACTGCTTGTGATTTCAAGAGAAATATAATGAAATTCATATTTGCACATATGTTTTTCAAAGGCAGTAAAATCTGACCTCGGAGGCACCTTCAGGAGCAAAACGGAAGACCACAGGGAAAGGTACCAACTGGATCTCAACATTGTGGGTTTGCAATTCAGCCATCATCCTCTCTTCAATCAAGAACAGGTATTATGTGCCAGATTGCTCCAACTTTATGAATGTTTCCAAGACAGACAGCAACAGAATATGGCTCAGCTGCTTTATGAGAAGGTGAGAATGGCTTTCATGGTATTCTTACATTTGAACGTTTAATATTGAAAGAAAGTTTTCATAACACTTTGAATATTTAACCAGATAAAACAATAGTTTATTTTGGCTTCTCTGGAAAGAAAACATAAGAGTTGACTGATGAGAAGTCAGCCTCAAACACATCCTTCAGGATATCTACCATACATTGTAAATAGGTCAGTAGTATTCTTGGTCTTGTTGCTCAAGGAAAGTTGCCAAGTACCTGTATTTTGATTTAAAAAAATATATACCAGGTATCGTGAAAGCACATTGAATATAAAGAATTCTGGATTGAGGATAACTAATCCAAAAATGACATCATAAAGAATATAAAAAATTTGAAGGGACAAACATTATTTCTGTAACCATGTGCTAATTTAAACTCTGCTGAGTCTCAAATTTGTAATCATTTTGTTAACTAGTATTCTCTCAGAAGTTTGTTTGTTTTTTTAGAAAATTATTTTATTTGTTTGGAAGACAGTGTTGAGAGAGAAAGATCTTCCAACTTCTGGCTCATCCCTCAAAAGGCCACAATATCTGGGGCTGGACCAAACCAGACAAGGAGCCTGGATATTATTCTAGAGCTCCCATGTCCCTGCAGGACTATCCTCCATTCCCTTCCCAGGTGCAATGGCTGAGAGCTGGATTGGAAGTGGAATACCCAAGAGTTGAGCCAGCAATGTCGATCATTATTAATAATATATATATATGTTATATATTATATATATATTGAAAATGACAATGGATAAGAACAGGAAGGCATCTGTTCTGTGACCATGGGATTTTAGGTGGAAGATAGGATAGATTCCTCTGCTCAGTCTGCCATCCTTAATGCCATTTCATTATATTGATTGATAAACTGGCAAGTATCCTCAAAGTATGACATTTATTGTTTAAACAAATGTAGCCTCTTATCAATTATTCCCCAAGGCGGTTATATAAAATGTATTATTGGAGACAAGACAATACATGAAGAATTTTTTTTAAAAGATTTATTTCTATTATTTTTTCATTGGAAAGGCGGATATACAGAGAGGAGAGACAGAGAGGAAGATGTTCCGTCCGATGATTCACTCCCCAAGTGAGCACAACGGGCCGATACTATGCCGATCCGAAGCCAGGAGCCTCTTCCGGGTCTCCCACGCGGGTGCAGGTTCCCAAAGCTCTGGGCTGTCCTCGACTGCTTTCCCAGGCCACAGGCAGGGAGCTGGAAGGGAAGCGGGGCTGCCGGGATTAGAACCGGTGCCCATATGGGATCCCGGGCGTGCAAGGCAAGGACCTTTAACCACTTACGCCACCGTGCCGGGCCCAATACATGAAGAATTTATACACTTTGCTTCTGCACACTCTTAGATCTGCAGGTGAATTGGAGAAACAATCACAGGTAGGTGAAGTGCAACAAAAGCTCTTTTCTTTGTTACAGCTGAAAGCGCTTAAAGATGCTACAAAATTAGCAAATGAACATTTGGAAGCAAACCAGCTGACTAGAAAATCTTTGGAAGACTATTATTGGCAAATAAGGTAAGTGTTGAACTATTTGTATGCCTATTTTATAGAATATAGTAAACTAGATTGCCTGAATATTCCTCACGGTTAAACTATCTGTTAAAATTAAAGAATTAACTATTTGATTACTGTTAACCGTCGTTGTAGGCAATGGCCTAGGTTGCATTGTACTTAAAAGCAGTTAATAGCTGGTGGGCATCCTGGGCCTAGCTCTTGCCAAATTTGTGCTAACTATTCCAGTGTGCCAGCATAGTTGCCTATTCAGTTTTTTTAATATATGTTGGGGACAAATGTGAGCATGCCAACAGACAGGGTCTGAGACCTATGCTCAAGTGTGCATGGGCCATGGGTAGGCAGGCGGTCCCTAAAAAACCTCACCAGAAATTACCACAACCTGACTCCTGTGTGTGCCAGCCAATGGGGAATTTGGCTCAGTCCATCACCTTCATCAGTCAACATTCACTGGTGGTTGCAGTCACCTGCTCAGTTCTGACCCTAACCCTATCTCACATGCAAACCAATTGATGTCATGGCCCAACCTAACTCTGCCCCTGACACACTTTGTCCTCACATACAGCAGAGGGAACTGCAGTGCTGCCAAGTGGTGGGCAAATCTGGAGCTTGCCTGAACCTAAGAGTCCCTTCACAGCAAATACACTATGAGGGGAACTCACCAGCCTGGATCCCTGGCTCTGCCCACCACCGCCATCTTGAAGGGGGCAATATGAGTTCGTTCTCAGGGTTTGGATGCATGGACCTCCCGGCAGCGTTGGTGACTACTGGGGGCATCTGAGCCAGGTCAGACTCAATATTTGGGCTCTTAGCACCAGCCACCACTACCAAGCGGTGAGTGAATTCAGGGTTTGCAGGTGGCCACAGCACCAACTGGCACTGGGCCTTGCCCGATGGCTGCCTAGCAGCAAGCTCTGGGATCTTGAGGTTGTGTGGAATTACTGCTTAGGGGCATCCATGGATATGTGTAGGTGAGGAATGAATCCTGAGGGACACCCAACGACAGGGCCACTGTACTTGCAGGTAAGTGAGAGGACTGAGACCTGGTGGTTTGGAGGAGAGAAAACTGAAAATCTCTATGGGTAACACTAATATACTGCCTTACATGGGAGTCCTGAGTAGGGCTTGTTAGCATGGAACGTTGCTGACTACCACACGCTAGTCCATGTGAAAGCTAGGACTGAGGACCTGTCTAATAGGGCTAGATCCCAGTACCAGACTGAATGTTGGAACAGGGAATGGGTCACATTAGACAGGGTCATGTCACCAACCATCACATGAGAGAACTAGGTCTGGGGTTAGATTCTGTGGGGGATATGTGGGCCGAACCCTGTGGAAATGCAAATCCCACTAGTTAGCTCAAGAGTTGGGATGATGGGTTGATCTAGGTGTGACCATGAAACCTGCCATCACTCATGGGTACAGGGATCAAGAATAGTCTGGGCAGGACCAGGCTACAGCACCCACATGTTCATCCTACAACAGGGTGTAGGATGGTCCAGGCCACAACATTCACCAGCTCACACAAGGCCAAGGTGGAGGTACAGGCTATGCTGGGCAAGGGCCTAACACCACTGGCATGCATGAGATATGGGTCTGGGAGTGGGCTGAGTGGGGAAATATAGGAAACTCCCCGAGTAGGTCATAGCTCCTGCTGGTGATTACATGGTCCAGGCCTGGGGGTTTGGCAAGCAGGGCAAGGTAGCTCTAACTGATGGCAAATATGTGGGTTGATTTTGGAAGGGGGTGGACTGAGCAGGGTCAAGCAAACCTTAGCTCATCAGCAAATGCAGAAACCAGGTTGGAGTGTAGGTCGTGTCATGCTAGACTGTCACTCTATTGGTTTGCATGAACCAGGAATGGGAGCTGAGTGAGCAGGGCCAGGTTGCAGCACCTACCAGCAAGAGTTGGGACTTGGGGCAGGCCAGGTCAGGCCAGGCTACAACATCCAAAGGCAAAGACCAGGAGAGGTGAGGGACTGCATCAAGCTAAATCAGAGCAATGACTGGCACATGCAAGCTCTTTGGCTGGGAACAGGCCTGATTGGGAAGCTAAGGGGATGCCCTAGCTTGGTTGTGATTCCCACTAGTGAGAGTGGGGGCAAGAGGTGGGGCTGTGTTCTAGTCTGGATATGGCTGCAACGTCCCTTGGCACAAATTGTAGAATGGGCCTGGGGTGTGCCAGACTGGGCTAGACTCTAGCACCCACTGGTGTTCATGAGAACCAGGGTAGGTATAGGATGGGCTGGGATAGGTCTCTGTCCCTGCTAAACCAGGTGTGAGCTGTATCTGAGTATGAACCAGGTTTGGCTGGGCTATAACACTCAACAATTAAAACCATAATAGGTAAAGGCCAGTTAGGAAAGGCCACACTGTTCCTGCTAGAACAGGAGGTTGACTAAGTAGGGCTGGCTCATGGACCCATGGATGGGCACGAGATCTGGCATTGGGAGAGGTTCTGATGGAGGAGCTTGGGCAACTCCTCTGTCAGAACACATCCTTCTGCAGGTGAGCATAAGAACCACCATAGGGAATATCCCAGACCAGGCCAGGGAATGGTGCCTACCAGCATACATTTGGAATAGGTTGTGGTAAACCAGGCTGGGCCAGTTCATATCACTGGGAATTAGAGCACCAGAATGGAGTATGGGTCAGGCCAGGTTGGGTTGCAACACAACCCAGTTCACATGAGGGCCAAGACTGGGGGCCAGCTGGGCTAGGCTGGGCTATACTCCCTACCAGTATGAGCTGGAATTGGGGGTGGGCCAGGTTGGGCCAGACTGTAGCATGTGCTGGCAGGTGCCAAGGTGAGGCAGGCCATGTCAGACCACAATCAGCACATGTGAGACCATGGGGAGTGAGGAAAAAAGCTGGTAGGGGGTTGCATAAGGCTTCCCTGCTGACAATCACTCCCACTGGAGATTGTGAATTAGGATGTGAACTGACCAGGCCAGGCTGGGCTACCACACCTGTGGGCTTCATGTGAACTGGCTTAGGGAAATGCCAGGCGGGGTTGACTGTTCCTTCTGGTGCAAGCAAAAGTCAGATGAGTGTGGGTTGGCTGGGCTTTGCTGCAGCATCAGTTGGCAGATGCTGGAATGGGAAGCAAATTATGTCAAGGTAAACTGTGGAACCACCTGGAGAGTACAAGATCTGAGAGTGATTGGGCCCAGTAAGGAAACAGTGGGCACCTCCCTCTTGGGTTGCCACTCTCACTGGAGAACATGAGAACCAGGATTGGGGCAGGCATGGCTAGACAGAGAGTGACACATGCCGGCATGTGTGTGGGCAGGATAGTGGGGTTGGTTCAGCTGAACTAGGCTTCAGTGCCCATTGACATGTATGAGAGCTGAATGGGATGTGGGACAGACTGGACCAGTCTGTTGTACATACTGCAAGCATAGGAACCAGGACAGGGGGGCAGGCCTGGTAGGAGTTATTGTGGGTCGCTCCAACTAGGCACCTGCTCCCATTGGTTTATATGAAGGCCAAGTGTGTGGTGAGCAGGATTGGGCTGGGCCGCAACAACCACTGGTTTGTGTGGAAGACAGGGCTAGAGGCAAAACTGACCCAGCAATTACAACCACCAGCATGTGCATAAGCTGATTTTGGTGTTGGACAGTGTCAGACCCTGTATTGGCAAGCAGCAAGAATAAGGTCTGGGATCATCTCAGATGAAGTTCTTTTGGGAACTCCCCCAACTGAATCACTGAACTCAGAACTCCTACCCATGAAGACAGTTGCAGGTTCCATGATCTAATTGTGGAGAGCTGGGCCTCCTCACTGTCTTAGGTGGAGCAGTAGACAGCATATTCAGGTGCACATGGAGGACATGACAGTGCATTGGAGTTGCAGAGAACACCTGGTACCACAACAGAAGACCACAGTAGAGGATGGAGGACAATGCAAATTGATCAACTACCCCAGCCAAGTGTTGTTGGTGAATATCTGGGCAAACAGAGACTCTAAGTAGACCTTGTCAAACCAGTGGATTCTGGGGAGATTTCATCATGCTTGGAGTGGTGAGATCAACAGTAATTCAGAGCTGTTGAACTATCAAAACCTCTTGAGCAGGACCCTCAGAGAATGCCCCACATCAGTGACCCTGGGGTGGTGTCGGGTGGCTGTCCTCCATCTCAGGTTGCAGAGTTGTTTGTGAAGCTGTGTGTGACTTTTCTCCTTATGCTCCTTTTACCCTGAGATGCAAAAAAAAAAAAAAAAAAAAAAGAATGTGGAAATGGTGATCTCACTCACCTTCCTGTAGCCCTTGACCCTTATCACCCTAATCAACTATGTAAAAATCATGAAAAACAATCCTAAGAAAGAGGCAGCAGAAATGACAGACGACCAGCACAATCATAGGCTCAAGGTAATTGAATTACCAAATATAGAAAAATCTATCTTTTAAAATATGATTTTAAAATAAAATAAAACAGTACTAAAAAATAAGATGCCTTGAGAGGATAGAAACAATCTGATTTTCATTATTACCACATTATTAGATTAAAATGTTTAATTTTATACAAAAATAGCATAATAATAACCAAAGAGTCAACTCAAAGGAAAAATATAAGTCAACATAAAGTGTCCTTGAAGATGACCAGTGGGTAGATCCGCTAAGCAAAGATTTTAAGACCCGCTGTAGGAGCCCGCACCATGGCATATCAGGTTAATCCTTGATCTGCAGTGACAGCATGCCATATGACTGCCTGTTTGAGTCCTGGCTGCTCTGCTCCCAATCCAGCTCCCTGCTAATAACCTGGGAAAACAGAAGAGGATGGCTTAAGTATACAGGCTGCTGTTACTCATGCAGAAAACCCAGAAGTTCCAGTCTCCTGGCTTTGGACTGGCCCAACTCTGACCATTGCAACCATTTGGGGAATGAACCAGCAGAAAGAAAATTTTTCTCTAGCTCTCCTTTTCTCTGTGGTTCTGCCTTTCAAATTAAAAAAAAGAATAAATATTAAAACCAAAGTATTGCAATGATACTCAAAAAACTAAATGAAGATACAGAAAAAGTCAAGAAACCATATATGAACAAAATGTAAATATCAATAGAGAAAATTGAGACAGAAACCAAAAAAAATTATATAGCCAAAAAGCATAATTGAAATGAAAGATAATAGAGGAATTCGAAGGTAGATGAACAGGCAGAAGAAAGAGGCAGTGAACTTGAAGATAGGGTGATGTGAATTACCTGCTCTGAATAAAGGAAATGTTTTGAAGAACAGTGAATAGTGTCTAACATCTGAATCCATCAAGTAGACTAATCTATTCTATATAAGAGATTTTAAAAAAAGATAACAAGCTACAAAAAAGAATATTCAAGGAAATAATCACTAAAAACTGTCCACAATTTTTATTAAGGATGTGAATATGATTATGAACATCTGAAAAGTTCAAATAGCTAAAGTGAAATTAACTCAAAGGGACCTATTCCAGGAAATGTTTTAACTGAACTTTCAAAGTCAAAGACAGAGATAATGTTGAAAGCACTTATATGTAACTTTACATATAAGTGATTCTTAATAAAGGTACATTTGTAATTGGAAACTTCGGGAGACCAGTAGAAGAAGCAGTAGAAAGATAGATTTAAATAAAAAGCCTCTTAAGCAAAAATCTTGAATGTGGACAATTTTTCCTTGAAAATGAGGCAGAAGTTAAGACATTCCTAGTTGAAAGTTGAGGGAGTGTGTTATTGTGGATGTGCCTGGGAGGAAGTGCTCAAGGAAATGCTGCAGGGTGAAATAAAGGGACACGGGAAGTAAGCCAAAGGCATGTGAAAAATGATCCCAAATCAAGTAAATAGGTAATTATAAATGTTAATATTAACAACAGTTTGTAATTCTGCTTTGTCTTTTCTACATTATTGAAGAGATTAGTGCACTGAAAAGAATTTCTAGTCTATATTTGGGGAACACACCAAATATAAAGAGGTAATTTGTGATATCAAAAACTGGAAGAGGTGAAGACAGACTTATAGAGAATTTTTTTTTGTGTTATCAATTCTGAGTTGTGAAATCCTAGTAAGTAGAGTGAAAAGAATGTGGGTAAAATGGAAGGAATAAGGTGGGGAAAGTTCAGAAGTATTAATCAATATCTATGGCACTTTTAATGACTTACTGTCCCAGCTGACCATTTTTTGCATCTACCATTATTGTTGTAGTAATACAAGACAGCTATATGAATTAGAAAGAAAGAAGGATTTCTCCTTAATAAAGGGCATATTACGGACTTGGAAACAGATAAAATTCCTTCGACAACAGCAAGGGTTTACAAGTACCCCAATAAAGTTGCAGTTTCAGAGGTGAGTGGTTGTTCTGTTTACTCTTAATGGTCTCTTAAGGACCCACATATTAATCACTGGGCATTGGGAAGCCAGGGGCAGGGGTACAGAATTGAGAAGCCCAAAAACTATTCCATGTAGTCAACAAAGGAGTTCTATCTTGAATATATAAATAATTCCTACAACTTTGTAAGAAGATAATTGAAAAATGGGCAAAGGATTTGAACACTTCAGTACAGACGTACAGGTGACAAGTGAATATGTGAACAAATGCTTGAGTCCTAGCTCTGCTCCCACCTCCCACCAATGCATTCCAGCGAGACAAACCATTGAGTCCCTACCGCTCAGATGGGAGGCCTGTTTGAGTTGCTGGTTTCTGCCTCAATCCAAATCTGACCACGATGTGTATTTGAGAGTGAAGTAGTTATTAGGAGATATGCCCTCTCGCTCTTACTCTAATTAATCAATAAAAAATGAGATCTTGTACTGAATAGAATAAACCATGAGGCCACTAGGATAACAGTTTCTAGGTAAATTATTTTTCTGAAAGGGTTTCAAAAACTGCAACTTTCTTGAACTGTAAATAAAAGAGAAATAACAGCTACATCTATTTTGTGGAAATGTGAGAAGTAGATGAGTTAATATGCATAAAGTACTTAAAATATTGCTTATTACTTTATGAGTATTACATGAATACAGCAGTTGTAGTAGCAATAATATACAGATAAGGTCTGGCACAATGGTTCAGTGGCTAAATCCTCTCCTTTCACACATTGGGATCCCATATAGGCTGCTTCACTTCCCATCCAGCTCCCTGCTTGTGGCCTGAGAAAGCAGTAAAGGATGGCTCAAAGCCCTGGGACCATGCACCCATGTGGGAGACCTGGAGGAAGCTCCTGGTTCCTGGTTTTGGGTCGGCTGAGCTCTATCCATTGTGGCCACTTGGGAAGTGAAACAAAAGATGGAAGATCTTTCTTTCTGTATCTCCTCTCTGTAAATCTGCCTTTCCAATAGAAATAAATCTTTAAAATGTATATATAGAGCTAGAACCACCCACTGCTTCTGTACAGGTAAACACCAAAGAATTTTAGTGTTACTATGATTGTCCTTAAAACCAGGACATATTCTCAGAGATTAAAAAATATGAGAGGAAGGGAGAGAAAAAGTGGCTTATGTCTTTCAATTTGTATTCCCCTCCATACCCTGGTTACTTACTTACAGGTATCTTGATTTCCCTATAAATCCCTATAAACATCGGTGTTAATTTACTGAATGGGAAAATGTATAAAAACCGAAAACAAGCTTCTGTTTATCATGTTGACAAGTTCCCTAGGACATAAGATTATTAGTTGTAAGAGATTGGTTATGTATATGTGTTTGTGTGTGAATTAGCAAAATCTCTAACCATTGTCAAATACTGCCATTATTTCTGCTGTAATTCTTGCTATTATTAATTAGGGTAAAAGTGAATAAATGTGATCAACAAAAACAAGGACAAATGTCAGAAACACCCGAGACTGAGAAGAAATGTGAAGGAAAACCATTTAACAATGGGGAAAAACAGGAGGTATCTAAATTTAAAAATAGTATTTAATTATTCTTAGTTGTATTTCATTATTTGGCAGAATAGAAAATTTTAGTATTTGTAACAGATATCTAATTAAGCGATGAATAAAGAACAGTATAATAAGAGTATTTGTCCTGAACAACAAATGTACATAGTAAATTGTATATTTTTGGATTTCTAGAGCTCCTCACATATAGATTCAGAACTTGAAGAATCAGAAATTGAAATAGTAAAACCAGTTACCTTGATGCCACAACTTTTTTCCACTGCAGAACTAACAACCTTATCCAAATGTTCAGAGTAAGCATTTAAGAAAATCTTGATATATTATACAATAATGTCTGTTGATTGTATTATGTTAATATTAATGTTTTGTTAAATGAGAACCATATGCCAGACACTTTGCTGTTTTTCAAAATACATTTTTATATTCACTTGTCATCATTGCTCTGTGGTTCTTTGATGTCCTCATCTTAGAAATGAGGAAATCAATATTAATGGAAAGTTAAATTGATCAAAATCACAGGTCTAATACATGACTATAACCATATAGAAGACATAGGATTCTTACTACTAAACCTCATGTAGTGAAAATTGCAGGGCAGGGGATGGAGGAAGAGGTTTGGCTTTAGTAATAAGTTTTTTTTTTTTAAGATTTATTTGTTTTTATTGCAAAGTCATATATGTGGAGGGAGGAGGAGAGATAGAGAGGAAAATCTTCTGTCTGATAATTCACTCCCCAAGTGACCACAATGGTCAGAGCTGTGCTGATCCGCAGCCAGGAGCCAGGAGCTCTTCCGGGTCTCCCACATAGTTGTAGGGTCCCAAGACTTTGGGCCATCCTCGACTGCTTTTCCAGGCCTCAAGCAGAGAGCTGGATGGGAAGCAGAGCTGTCAAGATTAGAACTGATACCCATATGGGATCCTGGCACATTCAAAGTGAAGACTTCAGCCATTAGACCACTGCACCAGGCCCTTTAGTAGTAAGTTTTGTTCATTCACAAATGGGTGAGACTTAAAGCCACTATAAAAATAAATAAATAAATAAATAAGATTATACTGCTGCTTGTGTTTATTGAAGGACTGTTAATTCATAAAACCTATTTCATATTATTGGGGCCCTCTGGACAATTTACTTCTTTGACAAATCAAACTTTATTTCTTCCCAGATGTGGCTTCTCCTTGAGTGAAATATTTTTTTCCCAGTGCTCAGCATTTTATGCAAAACCAGACATCACATATATCCCATTTCTCCCATCCACTGATGTGTGCATGCATTTTATGTGTCTTTTAAGAATTAGGAATTAGGGCCCGGCACGGTGGCACAAGTGGTTAAGTCCTCGCCTTGCACGCCCGGGATCCCATATGGGTGCCGGTTCTAATCCCAGCAGCCCCGCTTCCCATCCAGCTCCCTGCCTGTGGCCTGGGAAAGCAGTCGAGGATGGCCCAAAGCTTTGGGAACCTGCACCTGCGTGGGAGACCCAGAAGAGGCTCCTGGCTTCGGACCAGCATAGTATCGGCCCGTTGTGGCTCACTTGGGGAGGGAATCATCGGACGGAAGATCTTCCTCTCTGTCTCTCCTCTCTGTATATCCGCCTTTCCAATAAAATAAAAATAAATCTAAAAAAAAAATTCGAAATTAATTCCTAATTCTAATTCATAATTCATAATTTCGAATTCTTAACCAAGCCTCCTAATTCCCATTTACAAAAGAATTCCAAATTGTTAAGTTTTCCTACTTCCATAGATATCTGGTAGATAACGGTTGTGATCTCTTTAAGTTTTAAATTAGTGAAATACATGCCTGAATTATTTATGGCACTTTGATACTTAATTCTTTTTCTATTTTTGAATGCATATTTTTCTTTAAAATATTTGGGAGAAGTTAAACTTTTATACACATAGGGACAAGTGTTGTTTGGCTTTAAAATATTGTTTTCCCTCTCAAATGCATATACTCTAAAAGGCTAAAATATGTTTTATAAAGAATAATATCGTATGTCTGTTCTGTTTTTCAAGAGTCATTTAGAGGCTTATTTAACTTTTAGGCATGAACAAAAGAGGAGAACCAAAATTCAGAAGCTTAAGTACTTTATTAAAATATTTTACAATAATAAAGAAGTTTCATGCACTTCAATCTCTACCCTGCAAATTGATTTTAAAGTCATGTTTCAACAAATTTTCAATATTCAGTTAATATATTGGCCTGAAACCATTTGCTTAGAGGTATGCTATTGTCATTTACTTTTGTATCTTATATTATGGCATATATAATTTAAAAATTTCTTGTTAGCTGCTGTTATATGTAAGGAATTTTCCTTATATTAACAGGTGAATGATGTCTGTGAGTAGCTGTTGATGGCAAGATATTTATAAGTAATAGGTTTATAATTCATCAGTAATCTTTTTTACCATAGGTTGTATTTTGTGAATTCGTTTTTCGTGGTTTCACATATTTCTCTCCTGCTAAATTCCTTTCCACCCATGAATATGCAACATTATTATTCATTCACAAATGAGTTGGAAACAGTTGTTTAAAGTACTGTATGTAGAGGGACTGGCTCGATGGCTCAGTTGGCTAATCTGCCTCTGCAAGCCTGAGCATCCTGTATGGGTTCTGGTTCATGTCCCAGATATTCTACTTCTGATCCAGCTCTCTGGGCCCAGGAAAGCAGTGGAGTATGGGTCAAACCTTGGGACCCTGTACCCACGTGGGAAACCTGGAAGAAGCTCCTGGTTACTGATCAGCTAAGCTCCAGCTGTTGCTGACACTTGGGGAGTGAACCAGTGGATGAACAGTCTTTGTCTCTGGAAATCTGCCTTTCCTATCAAAATAAAAACAATCAGAAAAAATGAGGGAAGAACCACATTTCCAACAGATTGTCTGAGGGAAAGCTTTAGTAATAATGAGACAATAATTGCAGACAGAATGGAGACTCTGAAATACAACAGAGACACAGAGCCTGATGCTGCCTCTGCCACTGCTGCCACAGCAGTGTACACAATACTGGAGGATTAGCCTGGAGAAGGTTCCTTCTGCAGCTCTCACCAGCATGCAGGGCCAGGTGAGGGTGTGCAGGACTAACCACAGTACTCGTCAAACTATTTCAGAATATTGAAATTAATGGAACTCTGCCAATCTGATTTTATGAGGCCAGCATCACTGTGACAGCAAAACCAAAGAGGCAGTACAGAAAGAAAACTACAGACCAGTATTCTTGATGAACATAGATGCAAAAATTATCCAATAGGTAAATAAATAGAATCCAGCACTGCATCAAAAAGATTGTATATCATGATCAAGTGGGAATTATGCCAGAGATGCAAATGTGGTTCAACATCAGCAAATCAATAAATGCTATAATTCTCATCAACAGAGTGAAGAACAAAAACCCATCTTAATGGATGTGAATTTCAGAAGATTCAGGGTAATGAATCTTTATAATGAAAACCTTAAAGAAATTAGTTATAGAAGAAATAACTCAGAATTGTGAAGGCTAAGTATGTCAAATAGCCAAGTCATAGTGAGTCTGAAACAAGACAAAGATGTTTACATTCGTCACTTTTATTCAATAAAGTATTTGAAGTATTACTGAGAGCAATTATGGAACAGAAAGACATAATGGGCGTTGTAATTGGAAAGGAATGCAAAATTCCACTCACACTAGCTACAAAACCCTAAATATTTATAAATAAATTTAACCAAAGAAGTAAAAGATCTCTACAATGAAAGTTATAAGATATTGATGAAAGAAATCGTCAAAAACACACAAAAAATGTGGAGATATTTCTTGAACATAGATTAGAATAATTAGTGTTGTTAAAATGTCTGTCCTGCCTACAGCAATCTACGGATGCAGTGCGGTCCCTCAGTACATTTACTTTGTCCAGGGTCTTACCTCCAGCATGCGGTCTTAGGATCAGTTTAAAGAAAATGCAAAAAAAAAGAAAAAAAAAAGAAAAGAAAATGCAATCTGTATACCTTGAATACATTCACAAGACAGAAGTGTAAAATCTGAAAGCCAATTCAACATTTGAATATATTTGTCAGTTTATTTTCTGTGTTTCATTAGTTTACTTACAGTAACAATTTTTTAAATAAAGCGCTGCAAACCTTTCTGCTGTAGGATTGCCTTCGTCAAAGACTTTGATTCACTCTGCTATAACATTTTTTAAAGCACAGTTTCAGAGGAGGGAGGGAGAGAAAAGAGAGTAGAGAAAGAGATTTCCATCCATTGCTTCACTCTTCAAATGGCCATGAAAGGCAGGACCGGGTGAGGTCAAAGCCAGGAGCCAGAAGTGCCACCTGTTTCTCCCACATGGATGGCAGGGGTTGAGGCTCTCGGACCACTGTCTAATACTTTCTCATGTTCATTATGAGGGTCTGAGTAGGAAGTGGAAATGCTGGGGTTAGAACTGCTGCTCATATGAGATGCCAGCATCATGCCTTACCCATTGCGCCACAGTGCCAACCCTTTAATTCACTTTTATAAGGAGGTTTTTAAAAAGCCAGAAAAGTTTGTGTACTTCTTTGGCTTGCCTTTTTCTTAACATTCTTGACTAATCAGTCTTTGTTTAGATGATCATATTTTCTTATTTTTCAAGGGAAGATTGTCTTCCCCCAAATTTGCTTCATCTTAGAACACATATCACTGCAATCTCCAAGCAATAACAACACACTATAGGTCAAAGTAAGATTTTTCTATTTTTGACTTATAGTTATAGCTGCATATTTACAGGAAGTTTTAGTAAAAAGCCACAGCATAAGGTCAGAAGACCTGGGTTTAATGCCCAGCGGGCTTCTGCAGGGATGTCTCCTCCTCACACACATCCCACTCTTTCTGTAACTTCCCACTCTCCCAATGCGTGTAGCATACTAATTTATCCTTGGATTTCACGAGCCCAATGACCCTCCCTTTTTCCTAGACAATCCAACCTGGGTTTCAGGCACTTACAATAAAAACTATAGAACAGCACCCATTTTGTATTTTAGCATCTTTTAAAAGATTATTTTTATTGCAAAGTTAGATATTTAGAGAGGAGGGGACACAGAGAGGAAAACTTTCCGTCTGGTGATTTACTTCCCAGGCGGCTGCAATGGCTGGATCTATGCTGATCCAAAGCCAGGAGCCCAGAGCCTCTTCTGGGTCTCCCAACACAGGTACAGGGTCCCAAGGCTTTGAATTGCTCTTAGCTGCTTTTCCCAGGCCACAGCAGGGAGCTGGATGGGAAGCAGGGCTGCCAGGATTAGAACCTGCAGCCATATGGGATTCTGGTGTGTGCAAGGTGAGGACTTTAGTCACTAGGCTACTGCACCAGGCCCATATTATATTATTTTTAAATGAATAAAAATAGATTGCACATTACTGAGAGTCTTTATGGGTTCTCTATTTTGTATTTTGACTGAACTACCATTTCTTTTATGTTTAGGTTTATGAAGTCAATAAAAGGACAAGTTTGCTGGCAAAACTATATTTACCTTTACCCAACAGCACAGAGCTGAAAGGTAAAACTGTTTTGGAATATGTGGAGTTTAGCTCTGATCAGCTGGTCACACCTGAGCATGGAGAAGTAGGAAGCAGTGAGTTTATTAAAAATGACCCTACCCTATTTTCTTAATGACCACCATTTCAAAATACTTTCTCTGATTTACATGAGGTCTGACTTCTATAATGACAATGTTCAGTTAAAAAAACGAATACAGTTCTGCTTTTAGCTGTGAAGTGAGATAAATTACTACTGTCTTGACTCAGATCTTTGGGAACTGGAATTTTCAGTTAGCACATCTTTTTCCTAGGTTATCCAAGGAGAGAACAGCATGCTTTCTGGAACACAGCTGTGCTCTGCAGTGGGTACACTGCTCTGCTCTTGCCTCCACCTCTCCTCTAGGAAACTTCAGGGTGATCTAGGATAAATGCATTAGTCTTCGAACTTTATGGGGAATAAAAGAAGGAAGGAGGGACAGACATAATGAGAGATGAAAGGAGGGACATTTATTTTTCAAATGATTCTATTCCTCTCATGCAGTTACATTTAAATTAGCCTGCCTTTAACAACATTTTCTTTCCTACTTCTCAAGATTGCTTTTCATATTCCTAGGACTTTTGCAAACTCTTGTACCCAGATGATGAAAAGGAAGGAGATGTGACTTTATTTTTAAGTAAGAGAATGTGTCTCTTTAATGCTTAGGATTATAGTCATGTGAGTGGTAAGCAAGAGAAAGACAGAAAAAAGAAAGTGGGCAAAAGAGCATCGAAAAACCAGAGAATAGTCTGTTTAGTACAGATGAAATCTAAAAAGTAGGATTGTAGAGACCCAAGAGAAAAGAATCAGAAATCCAAGAATTTTAGGGAACATTGGGAACTCATCCAAACTTTCAAGGGGTGTTGTTAAACTCTGGAAGTTGAGAAAGAAAATGAGGAGAAGCCAAGACTTAGGGAATGGGGACAAAGAGCAGCATGTCTGCCTTTGAATGTTTGCTGCCAATGGTTCATTCTCACTGGAATCACTTACCAACATAATGGTTATGAAACTGCTGAGTCTAAAAAGAAGAAAATAGATGTTCATCACCATATTTTCAGCTTAGTGTGTTACCCTCTCTGATAGAGTTTGAAACAGTTTTTGTGGAGGTACCTTGGAGGGGGAAGATGAGCACTAAGATAAAAGCCTGGGGTCAGCCTGCAGCTTCCTTTGGGTTCCATAAGTGAAAGTCAGGGGGAAAATCTGCATGTGGTATAACTGCATACTTTTTTTTTGAAAGTTCATATTTCTAATGCTTTTTGTAAACAGATGTGCCATTTATTCTTGATGAAAATGGAACTGAAGAACTTTGTCTTTTGACATCAGGAAAGCTTAGCTATTCTTTGTCGTGGTCCTTGGATGAAAATGGTACCCCTGTGATACCCATGTCACAGTCTTTGAGATCTGATTACTGCAGGTAATAGATTCCATGTTTGAAAAATAATTCCAGGTGCAGCAAAATTTTACGTGTGTATGAAAAGAAAAAAAAGCCATGTGTATGAGAAGAAAATCTCAAGTGGCAGTAGAAATAGTTTATTTGGGTGTTGATTTCTTTTTTATTTAAATCACTTTCCATTAAGGTAGTAAGTATATTTATAGCTAGGATAATGTATTTCTCCAGTACTTTGGATTATGGCCATATGGATGGTGAGAGAAGCATTTTCTTAGCCCTTGACTTATAAGCAAAGGACAAGACTCTTAAGAATTTTATTTCTAGGGCCTGGCACCATAACCTAGCAGCTAAAGTCCTCACCTTGAATGCACCAGGATCCCATATGGGTGCCGGTTCTAATCCCAGCATGTCCACTTCCCATCCAGCTCCCCTGCTTGTGGCCTGGGAAAGCAGTCGAGGACGGCCCAATGCTTTGGGATCCTGCACCCATGTGGGAGACCTGGAGGAAGTTCCTGGCTCCTGGCTTCGGATTGGCACAGCACCGGCCGTTGTGCTCAATTGGGGAATGAATCATGGGACAGAAGATCTTCCTATCTGTCTCTGCTCCTCTCTGTATATCTGACTTTGTTATAAATAAGTTTTTTTTTTAAGACCTTTAGAGTTAAAGAATGTTCTTTTCTCTTGGCCATGTCCAACTTGGATTCTTTTGACTGAAACAACAAACATTTCAAAATAGGTAGGCAACGATCAGAGTTCCACATGCCTTTTTTGCACTACTTCCAGTTTTCTTTCTGCATGGAGAAGATCTTCAAGTGTTTGAGTGGTTTTGAGCAAAGATAGGATTGCTCACTAGGTATTTGGTTGTAGAGAGCTCATGCAGATGTCATGAATTTACTGCACGCCACAGCTGAACACCCAAAGGAGCAAGGCTCTTAGATTCCTATTAGTTTCCCGGAAGCACAAGGTATGGGATTGTATTGAAATCTAACTTGATTTTTTAAAAAAGGATAAAAATGAGATCGATTTCTCACACAAATGCATTAATTTACATTAGGTTCTACTTACGGCGCTGTTTTCTGTGAGGTCTGTGCTAAATCTATTCCCAGAAAAGGGAAATTTGCTATAGGATGGTGTCAAGGGTGTTGGCCCTAGAGATCTCTTATGACATGGATATCCGAGCAGTTCAATGGAGACTACAGGAAAGAATACTCAGACTTTACCTCTTTTGGCTTTACCAGCAGTAGCTTCAGATTGCCATAGAAATAGTAAAAGGGTATGGCCATAGATACTAGTAAAAGGGTATGGCAAAAACCGTATATCTGATTAGGCTAAAACATTATCAAGTATGGGTCAAGACTGTTTTTCTGGAATATATGATATTTTCTCAATTCCTAAATAAAAGAATATTAGGATCTTCTAGCCCTAATTCCAGTAGATAAACAACTGAAGCAGTTTATGACTGAATAAATCTTTATCATTGAATTTTTCCTGTGCTTAGCCCATAGGTAAGGTCATTAAGATTATTTTGAGTCTGGCCTTTTATAACTCTCCAGCTTTGGAAAATAGTTTCAGACAAGAAACCCAAGATACTCTCTGGCACAGACTACCCACTTCACTGCATTTTTTTTCATTGCATTTCATCTTTAAAGAGACAGCCTAAAGGTTGTTTTTATATATTATATTTTCTTGATTTAGCTCAATAAAAAAGACTAGTTAAATTTCAGTGTTGTACATTTTATGAAGTGAAAATATTTAATAAGTTCCTGTGCTTAAGGTTTATAGGATACAGTCAATAAGCAGCATTTACTTAGTATATACTGTATTTTAGCTGATAATAGAACAAGGAGAAATATTTACAGTTTTTATCCTCAAGATTACTGCTTCATAAAGGATGATAAATACTGAAAATCCATGATACAAGTTACAACATGAGAAAAAACAGAAGAGATACTGAATCTAAACTTACTAACTTATCCTTAAATACAAGCAGATGGTAGGTTTTATTTTTTTAAATGCTAGCAGTGGCTAAGTTTTACTCTGTATATAGATGTACAATCTGTATTCTGTCTTAAAAATGGATAAAATATTTTCTCTGTTTTAAGGAATATAGATGCACGAGGTATTCCTGGAATTCCATGGCTTGTTAATGAACAGAAGCTTTTTGAATGGGCAAATGAAATCAGAATTGATCCAAATAATCCAGAATATTCTGATTTAGTAGAATTTATTATGGTAAGTAACTATGCATATATTCTATTTTCTAAGCTCTAACCCTGAATGTCCTGACTACAGATATAGTTTTAAGTGCATTTGTAGTATTGCAAAGGCAAATAAGAATTCAGTAACTGAAATAATGATTACTTTTGGCCTGTTAACAGGTGCGCTGCCACTACCTAACAGCCCATAGCACATCCAGCAGGCTAACCCTCCAAGCTAGCATGTATCATACACCTGTGCTGGGCCAGCAATGTTGTTAGGTGCTGAGATTACCAAGATCACTTAAGGTGCACTCCTTCCCTTAGACTCATCACCCAGTCACTTCTGTTCCTCCCTATAGACAAGCAAATGGCTCTGTTAACAGCAAGTATGCTTTTTTTCATACTTGCATTTATGCCATCGCTCTATCCACCATGAATGTCCAATCAGTGCTTTTCTGGTAACCTCAGTTACTTGTGGTTTGTTTGCCCTGCTGCCAGTCCCTCTCCTCCTACCACCACTGAGAAATTTGTATGTCTTGCTTTAAATTTCCATCTGCCTTTTACTGTGGTTATTCCTTCGTGTATTTTGCCTTTTCTTGTATAGCTAGTAAATCTTTGTCTCATTGATGGCCATTAGTGTTATTTCTTTCATGTAGCATCCACTCAGTTTTGTACATGTTGCATAAAGCATTTTGTAAATTAGATCACTACAACTAAGTTTCCCAGAATTAGAGCTTCCCACTTGCTGCCAACTCTGTAGAAATATTGTTTCTGTCTCAACTCCTAAGGCAGTCAAAGCAACAGCCTATTCATTGTAGCTTAGTGAGCTACACAGATGTTTTCATTATCTGAATGAATCAGGAGGGGAAAAGATTCAGAAGCGAAGTAGACAGCGTTCTGTAATTTTTTAACAGATTCTATCCCTTCACAGATTCAATCATTCAATTTCCTACTTATGTAGACACTCTTACATCTCCCAGTTTAGGGGAGAAACAATGTTTTGAAATAACTAACTTAAAAAAAAACTAATGTTTTAAGAAAAGGCTTTATATCTTTATGCATTACAGTACACGAGACATAATAAGGGGCAGGAAATTCCGAAATATTTCCGTCTGGAGCAGCTGCAAGATGAATTTAACTTTGTTTCCGAGGAGGAAATGAGGAAGAGCAAGCGTTTCCAGTTACTGCAGCTTAGAAATGCAGGTCAATTAGGGATTTTCCTTCTGCAGCAAATGCCCCCTTATGATACAGAGATTCCAGATACAGTCTTCCAGGTACTTAACTTCTATTTGTAAATGGTTATTTGTATGATATAGTGAATATTTTGTTGCTTTAAATCAGTTATAATTTTTTAGCCTAATAATCTGTAGGCAAATATTTCCCTTTCTCCCATTTTCTTCAATTATTAAAAATATGTAGATCTACCAAATTCCAAAAAGTCCTTAGCTTTACAACTTAGTGTTATCCAAACCTCCTATTTAATAACCGAAATAATTTAAGCATATTCTACATGTTTATGTAACTAGCGTATTTTTATTGTTATAAAATATATTTCCAATTTAAAATCAGCTTCGTGAAGCATGGATGGGAAACTCTACCACGGTAAAGTTACACATTGATTATAAGGCACATCAATTTCAGAATCGTTAAGGCTTTAGAGTTTTCCATGATAGTGTCTTGCTGCTGGCAGGTTCCAGCTGCGGAGAAACTACTGTGCAGATCTTCCAATTCCCCTCCTGACAGTTTTATATCAGTTGTTTTAAATTTGTTACTGCTGTGATATTTACATTCAAAATCAGCAAACACTGCAAGTGAGAGCTTCTTCTCCCACTGCAAAAGACTCCATCATTAAACGTCTGCCAGCATGCAATTAGTTTTATAATAAAGGAATTACGCTGTGAAAGTAATTTAATAATTTAGTTCCATTTTACTTATGGGCCTAGGTGGAAAATTACTGATAAAATATTAAGAAACTGAATAAAATGTGTTGTATAAATTTGTATACTTACATAAAATAATAGAATAGGGCATATTTTATACCACAGAACTGACTTAACTATGGAATCTATTAATATAACTTACAATATTAAGAGAATTATGTAAGGAATGACCTGCTTCTCTGTGTAAATGGTTAAAGCCGTTTAATAAATTCAGTGTTCAATCATCATAAAAACTGTTAGCTTATCAGAATCAGAATAAAATTTAGCTTAAATATTTCAGTAATTTGAATTTTTCTGATGCAAACTGTTGAAGTATTTCAGGTAAATTGTAAAATTGAGGAGTACAAGCTAGAAGGGACCCAACACACCTATTAATTACTGGATTAAGCCTCAGACTTAATTGGCCAGAGGTCAAGACACATATAGAAGCAGGACAGAACACAGGACAACTGCATAAGATTTTTTTTAAAGACTTACCTGTTTTTGACTTGAAAGACTGATATAGAGGGACAGACAATAAGACTTACACCTTGTACTTGTTCATGCCCCTAAACAGCACAGCAGCCAGGATTGTACCAGGCCTAAACCAGGAGCCAGAACTCCATCCTCCTTCTCACATAAGTAGGCTTCTTCACATAGCTTGTCAGGAAGCTGGGTTGGAAGTAGAGTAGCAACCCTCAGAGTAATACTGTGCTGTAGAATACTGGGCAAGCATCAGCTTTAAACTACGTTGTCACAGCACTGGCCCCTTTTAATGTAGTCGTTAGTGAGTTCTATGTGCAATGGAGATGCAAATTGCAAACATATACAGAAGACTCGAATTTATTACAGGTTGTACAGATGCAGAATCCTGACAAATAATTTATCTAGACTATGCATGTAATATGTAGTTATTGATTATCGTCAGCACATATAGATTACTTTCTATGCACCATACATTTTATAGAAATATTGTGTCAGTTAACCCTCACAAACAATTCCTTCCTGAAGAAGGAATTGGGGTTGGGAGCAACTGTAAAATTTCCCCAAACACATGGTTAGTAAATGGCATGGCCCATTTGAACCCATGACTATCCATAAAGCCAATGCTGTTAACCACTACACATTAACATTTGTACTTGTTTTTAGCATTTTCCAGGCAAACGCATGCAAAGAGTTTTCTTCTTCAATCACTCACATTTTCTCAATCACATATTTTCCACAATAATTACTATATTTTAAAAGATGAATGGGGGAAAAAATGTTTTCTGTTCTCAGTGCCTTACTGTTGCCAGTGTCCTCTTGGACATGAACTGCAGTGAGTACTTAGACTTTGGTTGCAGTGTATTATATCTGCCCAAATTCTGTGATACACTGAAGAAATGAAACTAACTTAATTCTTTAATCTTCTGTTTAGGAGTATGAAAGTCAGATAGAGAAAGATGTGTCCATCTCAGAAGTGAATTCTATTACTGCACAAAGAATTGCTTCTCTGAATTTTCTGAAAAGGGTAATGACAACATTTTCCATGTTTGCATTTACTTTTATGAAAACTGATGCGGTGGATGCATGGTATTGTCATTCCAGAATGTCAGACAGGCATATCTGCCTCCTCGTCGCCTAGTCTCCAAGAAATCCTCAGTTCTCTTCAGAATTCCTTTGCAGTTGGGTTGCTTCAATGATGGTGAACTCATTAATGCATATCTTAACTTTCTCTGTTTAAGCATGAATGTTAAAGACTTCCCAAAGTCCTCATGTAATGTCAACCCAGTGTTCTGGCAGAATTCCCACTTTTATTAGTGCCTCACAATGCCATAGCCTAATGCACTTCAGGAAATGAAGAAACTACCAGAAATCAGACACAAAAGAGAATAAATATGCTTTGATGCAAAATCAAACAGCAGATATTTTCAGAGTACTCCAGTAAAGCCCCAGCCTCACTGACTTTCTCTCTGGATTTCTTTCTGCACTCTAAGAGGCTTAGATCAGGAACTCTTGGTATATCCCCGAGGCTCAGAACAATGCTGGTAATGTTGATAAATGTTTGAGAAATTAGTGGAATAAGAAATACATACCAACGTAATTGCAAAAACTCCTGTTAAAGTAAAACCTCTCATAGCTTTTGCTTTACAGCACTAGCTTCACATTTTAGGTAAATTTGAAAAGGCTCAAGAAGGGCCATGGAAAGATCTATGGAAGACATTCACATCCCTCTTGGGGACAGATAAGTCTGTCCTTATCCTGTAAGTTTTTCCCAATTTTTTATCCTAAAATTTTCCTGTCCTGGGAATGCTATTGGACATTTTTTAAAGATTGATTTATTTATATTGGAAAGACATATTTACAGAGTGAAGGAGATAAAAAGATCTTTTACCTTATCCTGTAAGTCACTGGCAAATAACCTAATGAGTTTCCTTTGCTATCTTTCCCATATGAAGGATAAAACTTGGAGAGTTATGCTAATACATCTGCTTACCATGATAAGGTGGCAGAAATAGAGATCACTTTTGTTGTTCCACTTTCATCATGGGCAGGTGTTGTTTTCCTACTATCCTGGCTCTCCGTCTTACCATCTCCATAAGAAAAAAGAAAACATGGGATGTGCTCCAATAATGAGTTTCCTTTCTTGAAAAAGAGAAAACTTTTCTTACTGCTAAAATAAGAGAGCCCATATCTGTCTGATACCCTCTCTTATTTTTTGTTAATGCGAATCCCTAGGAGGGAGGATAATAGATCGTCAGAAAGTGCTAAGAGAGGATTTTTAAACACATCTAGAAATCTGGGGAGACACTTAAATTGTGTGATCCTATCTCAATTCCTTATGAAGATTTTTCTGTTGCTGGAGTACGGATTAAAACTACAGATGTATAAGGTTTCTGGAATAGTTACTGCAATACAGATGCCTGAAGTCTTAAGAGTTACTGGATAATGTTTTGCTGATATATTTGCACCTACAAGACTGAGGCATTTTATTATTATCTGGCCCTGCAAGCAGCAGGGGCTTAGGGAAATGGCTCAGTACAAGCACTGGCTTTTTTAAAAAAAAATATGTTTTTATTGCCCAAGATAACATATTTTTAGTTTAGTTTATAGTTAAAGGCTCATTGACTAAACTAAATAGCTCTACAAATAGAAAGTGAAAAGGTAGTCCAGCAGGAAAATAAACACAGGCCATAACAGTAATCAACAGAGAAAGATGTTCATCGTCATTTATGTAAATTTAAGAAGTCACAAAATATTAAAGCTGTAGTAGCATACAATTCCTATCAATTTGTTGGACAAATATCTAAAACAAAGTTTGATAAAATACTATATTATGCATTTTCTTTTTTAAGATTTATTTATTTTTATTGGGAAGACAGATTTACAGAGAGAAGGAGATGCAAAGAGAAAGATCCTCTCTCCAGTGATTCACTCCCCAAGTGGCTTCAACAGCCAGAGCTGAGCTGATCCAGAGCCAGGAGCTTCTTCCATGCCTAACACGCAGGTGCAGAGTCCCAAGGCTTTGGGCTGTCCTTGACTGCCTTCGCAGGCCACAAGCAGGGAGCTGGATGGGAAGCAGAGTATCCTGGAAACAAACCAGCACCAGTATGGGACTCCAGGCACCTGCAAGGCGAGGATTTAGCCACTAAGCCATTGTGTTTGGCCTTGCACTAACTTTGTTACCAAGCTGACACAATGAAAACTGTAAGTCAGAATAGGATAGAATCAAAGAACACCCAGAAACAATTTCTTTGAATTTGCAGATTAAGATTTATCTATGTTACTGCTATTTCACAAGTGGATTCACAGGGAAATTGTACCTTTGGGTGCCAACTAGTTCTGGACAGGTTTAATGTGGCTTAGATGGGAAAAAATGTGAGAGCAAAGAATTTAGAATGAAATGAACTCTAAAACACAAAAAAAGAAGAAATGAACTTCCTTTTTTGTTTTTGTTTTTAAGATTTATTTTTATTAGAAAGGCAGATATACAGAGAGGAAGATCTTCCATCTGATGGTTCACTCCCCAAGTGGCCTGAAGCAGCCCGACCTGAGCTGATCTGAAGCCAGGAGCCTGAAGCTTCTTCCGGGTCTCCTACATGGGTGCAGAATCCCAAGGCTTTGGGTTTTTCTCAACTGCTTTTCCACAAGCAGGGAGCTGTGGATTAGAACTAGGGCCCATATGGGATCCCAGTGCGTTCAAGGAGAGGACTTTAGCCGCTAGGCTACTGTGCCGGGTCTATTTTTTCTAACAATATGAGTCGGAGTACTGTTTTTAATAATAATAGCAAACAGAACCATATTCATTGATCTAATCTCCCTTTCTGTTCAATACTCGCAAAAATTAGGAGTGAAATAGACTGGCACAATTAGCACTGTAACTACTTACCCTTAAAAAGTGAACTCATGTTTAATCTATTTTTTTTTTTAGATGAGAAGGTTGATAATGAAAAGAATTGTCAAAATCAGCAAATTTAGCTTGTCTGATATTGTGGCTGATTATGAAGAAATCGTAACCGGAAGGTACTACCAAAAATATAAACTAAAAATCTGTAAGCTAAGTCTTTCAGAATCTTCCAAGTTCTCTACTTTTATGTTAAGTTGTAAGTCAAAAGATGCAGTGTAAGAGCATAAAGGGATATGTAATGATTTAAAATACATTTGTTTATTTGAAAGTTGTATTTTGAAATATCTTCATGATATACTTTAAGTTGTACACTTTCTTGAGGGTATTTTTCATACAGTACTGATGACTTTTATTACAAACAAGAAAAGTTAAAGGAACATATTTTTCCCATTTTTTTAATCCTAAGATTTTCCTGTCCTGACAATGCTACTGGACAATTTTTAAAGACTTATTTATTTATATTGGAAAGGCATTTTTAGAGAGAGAAGGAGATACATAGAGAAAGATCTCCTATCTGCTACTCCCCAAGTGGCCACAGCAGCTGGAGCTGAAGCAATCTGAAGCCTGGAACAAGGAGCTTCTTCTGGGTCTCCCACATGGATGCAGGGTCCTAAGGCTTAGAGCCAAACTCCATCACTTTCCCAAACCATAAGCAGGGAGCTGGATAGGAAGTGGAAGAGCCAGGACACGAACTGGCACCCATATGGGATTTCAACACGAGCAAGGTGAGGATTTTGCCACTGAGCCATTACACCAGGTCTCCTGCACAAGTTTTTGCTGGATGCATCACATGCTAAAACTGTAGAGGTCCCCTTGCAAAACAGAGACTCCTCAGCTGACCAAGAGTGTTGAAAGGTACAGGCAGCAGTTGGAGGCGCCTTTTCTGAACTGAATCAGTTCTCAGCCTATGGATTCTGCACATCTCAGGAGTAGGGGCAAGAGCAGGGCCGGCAAGTTCTCTGGAAAACATCCCTGAAGGCCCCTAGATTCTTGTCATAACCAATACAGTTTTAATGGGTTTCGGGTGCTGAAATCTAACGTGGCTTATGCACAAGTAATGTAACTATGTTATTTTATGTCTGCGGGACTGATCATCTTTTCACTCTTCAGCCAGCTGACACATGCAGTTTGTAAGTTTGTGGAACCACGAAGAAAGTTAAAGCCTCAGAGGAAAGAAAGAAAAAAAGTCACAGCTCAGACGGTCTCCAATGGAGATATTAAGATTCTTGTCAGAATATTAAGAGCCTATAATATTCCCACTAGGAAAATAACAGTTAGTAGGTAAGGCAATATATACCAATTTTCAGTTTCAAAAGATCTATTTTAAATGCGATAAATGTCCATGCCATTTTGCTTGTGAATAGTCATGTGTGATTTGTATGTAGTGCATATTTAGCTTCCAAGTACCTCCGTAATGCTACGTCTCCCTTGTCTTGTGCTTTACATGTTTTCTTCTTACTCAGTTGTGCTTACTACAATCTACAAATTGTACCTATGAAAATATTTTGCTTATTGACTACTACAGCTAACACTTCTCAATGGTTTTACCTCTATTTTTGCAAACTGTAGCCTTATTCATCTAATGAATGTTTTCAAAATAAATGCACATTTTCAGAGGCTATTTTGTAAAACAAGGACATATGAAATTATCAGTTTTATATAATCATTATAGTTGAAACAATATCATAATACCAAAATATGAAGTAAATATTCTCAAAGTATTGTTTGCTTTATCTTTTCTCCTTTGGCTTACTATTCCTTAAAATATTACCATAGATTAGGTCCAACCCACTGTGCAGCATTTAGGAACACTCTTCCAGGGTAGAACGTGTCAGATGCATAGCTCTAGTCATTTGTGATGCTATGACAATGCAAAGCTAGCAGTAAGATCCAGAGAAACTTAATTGTATTTCTTCACAAGAACAGCAAAAATGTACCCACATCTATCAAAACTCTCATTAAAATGTATTTTGCACTATTATTTTTTTGAAGAGCTCTGGCTATGCCTACTTATTTGATGTCGTCTATATCTCGCCTCAGACATAAAGAAACAATCAAATCCACAGCCTCAGATGAGATCTCAAACGAGGCAAGTATTTAACATTTCTATAAAGAATAGTATTCATTATGTTTGCTCCCTCTCTATTTCTTCAGCTTTAAATTTATTCTCCAGAATATAGTTGCCAAGCAATTTTCCTAGCTTTCTACCCTTATTAACTATATAAAGTACCACAAAAAATTGTCATTATTTTTATTTGTTTCAGGATACTGTAAACCCATTTGTAGAAGTTTCTTTTCAACACACTATATACCAAACCAGTACTGCAAGTGGATCTCATCCATGCTGGAATGAAGAAATTGAAGTAGATTTAAGGTATGCTGGAGTCCATTTTTTTTTCTGTAGTTTCTGAAAAAGAAAACAATAATAAAAGTATTTTCTTGAACCGTTTATGAAAATTAATCATTCATTGAGGCTTAAAAACTCTTGACTTACCATTTCAAATATATAAAGTAATAAATATTTTGGCACAAGTTTTGAATAAAAATGATAAACTGGTTATTTGTGTGTCTACCATGCATCCTAAAAATGAAATATTAGCAATCCCCAAAGCAGCTTACTGTGCCTTACCTAACTGCTTCCCCTCTTTTTCCCCAGAGATAACAACCATGAATTTATATTTACCATTCTCTATTCCTTTATGTTTACTTCACAGACTTTTTTACCCCATATGTTATTTACTTATGTGTATCTTCTGTTTTACAAATTGAGTCATACACTTACATATTTTGCAATCTCAGTATTTTTCCTTCATTGTTAAATATTTTGAGTATTTCACCCATGTTCACGCTTTGACTGTTTGAATATATTCCCAAAATGTGTGTGTTGGAAAATCCTCATTGCAACAATGTTGACACATGTTCATCAATAAGTAAATACTGTAGTAAAAAGGGTTCACAGGAGTAGATTCACCCTCTTATGTTTTTCTGCCTTATGAAGATATATAGTTTGTCCTCTTTATTATTTTTTTTTTTTTTTGCTCTTTCACAATCTGAAGACTTAGCAAAGAGGCCCCTCAGTAGACACCAGATGCCAGTGCCTTGGCCTTGGACTTCCCATCTTCCATAATTGGGAGAAATACATTTCTGGTCCTTATTTGCTAACTTGGTACTTGGTTATAGGACCTCAAACAGATAGACAGTGCTATTTATGTTCAGAAGCACTAACATAATCACTTGCACATATATGATGGAATTTTATAGGCTACCATATCCTAGCCACCACTTCAAAACTGAGATTTGCAAGGAAACTCCAACCCCAAACTGAGATTTGCAATAAAAATGAGATGCTGTTTATGCCATTACCCCAAGAGGAAAACATCATAATGTACCTTGGAATTTTGGAATTTTGTTAACTAGAAACTGTGGATACTTATTTTAGCAGAAATCAAGTTTGTTCCTCCAGATTCAATCCTGGCACAGTTGTATGTTCAATCTTTGTCTAGATTTCGAAACACATATCCTTGCTATTAGACTGCCTGTCTAGACCTTGCACTTCTTGTTCTGCATTATAATCTGAGACATGCTTTCTTGACGTTACTATTTGTGCATGAGCATACTGGTTTAAATGTAAATTGATTACATTGTAAAATATCAAGCTTAATTTCATATATGTTTGCTTATAAAAAGTTTCTAAAGATTTGTTTAAAAGTGGGATTAAGAGATAAGTTTGGGGGCCAGCATTGTGTCACAATGCGTTAAGCCACAATTGGTAGTTTCAGCATCCCATGTTATCCAGATGTCTCCTGATGCACCTAGGTATGAGAGTATAAAAGCAAGACAAACCAGAGACAGGACAGGACAATGAAACAGACCACAAATTGCAGAGCCAAAACAGATTGCTTCAGAGACATGCCTGAAATGACCCAGTACTGGTAGGGATTGGAGCACTGCCTTCATGCAGGCTGGTTGTCTACACAACCAGAGCTGTTTTTAAGTTTTGGGTCATTAAGCAGGACTGAGTGGGTTGGCATGGAGTTGTTTTGTGGGAGTTGGCTTTGTAAACTGGGCAGGCATGAGCTTAAAGGCTGAAGTGGAGTTAAGCTGGTTAAGTAAGGATGGAAGAGATTGGGAAGTTTCTCAATGGAGTGCTCTTAGTCACAGAGGCAAGAGACTGCAAAGTGGTGAAGAATTTTAGACCTGCTTTTCCTTCTTGCTCCATCAAAGGGAAGGCAGTAGAATGAGTTCTAGTCTCCTGAGTTCGACCTGATCCAGTCCTGGCCATTGTAGTTGTGTCAGAAGTGAACCAGTGGATGCAAGATCTCTTTTCTTTTTCGCTCTTTCGCAGTCTGTCTGCAACTCCACCTTTCAAATAAATAAATATTTTAAATATTCATATGTAAGATTTAGTGCAAAAAATTAAAATCTGCATAGTTTTTCATTTTCTACAAACTTCTTTAAAATCCTTCTATATGTGGTTATATGTTTGTAAAGTTTTTGAAGTATAAGATTTAGCGTTAGAAAAAATAGATTAAGTGAAGCAAAGTAGCAAGGAAGACAAATAAACCTGAAGACAAACTAAAGAGAAGGATAAGGGGTGTTTCCAACCTTGCAGCTTTAGAAATGAAATAATGCACATTCGTGGTACAACCAAGTGAATCAGAAGCTGCAGCTCCAACAAAATCATCCAGCTTCAACTTTTGCTGCCTCCAATGTAAGACTCTTATTCTCCACTCCCCAATTCGTGACACTTAGGTAAAAAAAAAAAAATGGCATGGAAATGAAATAAATTGAATAATAAGTAAATAGTAATTATCCCTATGAACCCTACTTTGGAAAAAGAACTGTGAAATTTGAGGGAAATTTAAGGAGAATACAAAATTGAAGATAATGGCAGAAGATGGGTAACTTAAGCAACATACCAAGTTGACAAGCTCAGAAATATCTTGAAGATGGCAGTCATCCTTTCTTCTACTGACATGGCACTGCAGATAGACACCACCTCACCTGCCCTGCCTGAGGCCTTCTCAACATGAAAGGAAACCCTTGAGGATCAAAGCAAGGGAGTCAGCATGTTATCAATTAGAAATATAAGGACTACAACTTAAACTGTTATCTAGCATTTTCAGCTATCACTTGCTGTGCATCTGAGAAAGTTGTAGAAACTATTGGTTGTGCTTTGAAATAATACTTGCTATCTTATGCAACAAACATTAACAAATAATGTCAGTGGCGATTATATGGTAAAGCAATAATGATCTTTGGAGTCAGAAAGAACTGGGTCTAGATTAGAGCTGGATTATTTAGAGATGATATCATCTTGAATAAACTAGTTAGCTTCCTTGAGCTTCAGTTTCTAAAATGTTAGTTCTGAATGTTAGGGGAAGGCATTCAGCCTAACAGTTCAGATACTGCATCCCACTTTGGAGTACTTAGGTTCCGTTCCTGTCTTTAGTGCCTTACTTCAGCTTTCTGCCAGTGTAGAATCTGGGGAGCAGTGATGGCTCCAGTAGTGGGTCTCTGCGATGCACATGAAAGACCTAAACTGAGTTCCAACTCCAGGCTGTGGCCCCAGTCCAGCCCGGTTCACTGTAGGCATTGGAAGAATGAAACAGCAAATTAGAACTCTTTTGCTCTTGTTCTGCTTCTCAAATAAAATAAGTAAGTAAATAAATAAAATGTTCCTATCCAAATAAGCCATCAGAGACAACTTTCAAAATTAAAATTAAAAATGTCCTCCTATCCAAATTTCTGTTGGAGAAAATAAGTGTAGGAAGATAATAGACTCTGCAGTTAAATAATCACACCTATAACTGAGAACAAGAGGGCGTTTTCATTAAATGTGTGAATTAGCAGAAAGCAGAAGAATTTTAGTTGGACTTTATTTTTAATTGGAAATTCAGATATACAGAGAGGAGGAGAAATAGAAAGATCTTCCATCTGTTGATTCACTCCCCAGGAGGCTGCAACTTCCATACAAGTGCATGGTCCCAAGGCTTTGGGCCGTCCTCCACTGCTTTCCCAGACCACAAGCAAGGAGCTGGATGGGAAGTAGGGCTGCTGGTTCTAATCCCGGCGTCTGTATGGGATCCCAGCATGTGCAAGGCAAGGACTTTAGGCTCTAGGCTAACATGTCGGGCCCTCATTGGAAAATTTTAATGTACCATACTTCAGATAATTTGTAAAAGATAACTGCAGTGAAAGCATTTCTGCTTAAATATAAAATAAAATAATACAAAGTGCACACTGGCTTTAATGAAAGATAACAGCCAATTGTCAAAGATGTGGCTTTTTCCTAGTTTATACTTTATAAAACTCAGGAATTGTATGAGCTGATTATACTCTTTGAAACTAATTTGATGCTAAAAACTTAAACATTTAAGTGGGTTTTTCTTTTTTGTAGCTCACCGGGACAAGATTATAGCTTCTCAAACTTATCTGAAATAAAAGATTATGTGCATATAAACATTTTTGATGAAATGATGATTGAAAAACATGAGGTAAGGTGTTATAATTGAAATAATCAATGTTGAATAATTCTAAAAGATCAAACTGAATAAGCCAACAAAGTCAGAGTTTGTATGTTTGCTTTTGGATGCAGTATCTATATTTGCTAAAATGGATTTGGAGATTTGTTTCCACCTTTTTTTTTTTTTTGAGTGAAAAATTTAAGTTGCTAAAACTGGAGTTATTGCAGGGTAGTACCAATGCAAAATACATCTGCGATGACAAATGCCTATCCCTTTTATGCCTAATGTAATAATGTACATGTATTTAAAGTTTGTAATTTGACAAGTTTCAACATATGTAGACATCCATAAAACTGTTTTCACAATCAAGATAAAACAGTCCTATCAAGTACTTTCAAAATTTTTCCCCTGCCCTGTTGCCCTGTCTCCTTCTTTCTGCCTCCCACCCAAGGCAACCATTGGTTTGCTTTCTGTCCCAATAGTTTATATTTTCTAGAAATGTTATAGAAATGGAATGATATGAATTTTTGACCCTGTTTATTTTACTTAGGAAAATTATTTTGAGATTTATCCATGTTGTGTTGTTTTGCAATTATTAGTTCATTAGTTTTAATTGCATAATAATCTTTCATTGGTAAACATGCATCTTTATGTGGTTATGTTTTGACAGACATTAAGGTTATTTTCTTGAGTATCATAATATTTTTATTGAACATTTGTGCATATCTCTATATATACACGTGCTTTTGTTTCTCTTAGTAAATATGTAGGGATGAAGGCCTGGCACAGTGGCCTAGCAGCTAAAGTCCTCGCCTTGAGCATGCCTGTATCCCATATGGGCGCCAGTTCTAATCCCAGCAGCTTCACTTCCCATCCAGCTCTCTACTTGTGGCCTGGGAAAGCAGTGTAAGATGGCCCAAAGCCTTGGGACGCTGCACCCACATGGGAGACCTGGAGGAAGCTCCTGGCTTCTGGCTTCAGATAGGCACAGCTCCAGCCATTGTGGCCACTTGGGGAGTGAACCATTGGATGGAAGATCTTCCTCTCTGTTTCTCCTCCTCTCTATATATCAGCTTTTCCAATAAAAATAAGTAAATCTTTACCAAAAAACGAATTTCAAAATCGTAACTCTTAAAAGATACATAAAAGGCTCTGTTCAAATAATGGCTAAATATCCCCTTGTAAGTACAGAGATCCCATAGGGGCACAGGTTCATGTCCCGGCAGCCCCACTTCCCATTCTGCTTGTGGCCTGGGAAAGCAGAGCAGACGGTCCAAAGCCTTGGGACCCTATATCCACGTGGGAGATCCTGAAGAAACTCCTGGCTCCTGGCTCTGGCCCTTGCCACCATTTGTGAAGTAGATGGAACAGCTTACTCTGTGTCTCCTGTTTGTAAATCTGATCTGCCTTTCCAAAAATATGTAATTCTTTAAAAAGTTCATAATATCTTGTAATCTTACTGTTCCACAAATTTTTGATGCCCCTCTTATGTAGTCATTCCAGCTTTTCTTCTAAGTAATGCTTATGTGATTTAGATCTTTTTAAATTTAACTTGTCTTTATATTTACATGCATTTCCTGTAGACAGCAATAGTTGTGTTTCGGCTTTTTAATGTGTTTCTGCCTACATTTTGTCTAATTATTGCTATATATTTTGTCTAATTATGGCTGAGTTCCACCTTCCAGTTCTTATCCCATTAACTCTTTCTTTTGATCCTCTTTTCTAACCTTCTTTTGGGTAGATAGTGTTGTAATTCCATTTTGTGTACATTATTTACTTCCTTATTTTCTGAATTGTTCCACAATTTATCATGTATAATGTAATTTACCACAGTCTGTAAATACTGCTGTGCATATGGGGTAGGGCAGAATATTGTAGCATATTCATTTTCCTCTCTGGTATTTTGTGCTAGTGTCGTCATACATTTAATTCATATGTATGCCATAAACTTCACCACTTTACATTATTTATGCTTTAATTAGTGACCTATTTTTTTAATTTCTTTTTTTATTTAATTAATTACATTGCATTATGTGACACAGTTTTATAGGTACTGGGATTCCTCGTACCCCTCCCCAAACCATCCCCCCATGGTGGATTCCTCCATTTTGCTGTATTACTGCAGTTCAAGATCAGTTGAGATTCTTTCCTTGCAAACATATACCAAGCATAGAGTCCAGCATCTAATTGTCCAGATAAGTTCAACGGTTTGTTGGGGAGACCATCTTTGGTCTGAAAGTAGAGCCGGCAGAGTATGATCCCTATCAATTAAAAGCCCTGACATAACATCAGCAACAATTTATAATGTTATGGAATTAATTGACATAGTATTGAGTAGATCAGTGAGCTATTTTCAAAGAAGTTTGGAAGAAAAATGTATCTTCCCTTTAGCTATTTTTTTCCTTTTTAAAAATAGAGTGATTTTTATACTTTTGTGAAACTACTTGTCACATATTAAGTGATAAAATTATTTATTTTGATAGGATCACTGCCTCAAGAGCTGTAGCAGTCACTTATATATAAGAAAGAATTGGCTTGGATCCATTGCCTTTCCTTTTTCTGCTCTTCTGCAACAATCTGAGGTAATAGAGAGTGGTTCTTTGCTAATCATTCTAAGTTTTAATCTTTCATTAATAGACTAATAGAAGCTCTGTTTTCTTAGAATCATATCCTATGATTAGCAGGTAAGTAGGTCAGTTGAAGTGATGTTGTATTAGAATATTCTGGGGCTTTGGAATGTTTTTATCTTTAGAGTATACACTAATGAAAAATGGGAGAGCTAGCCTTAATTCATAAAGTAAAACACACAATTACACATTTGAGTTTCATACAGATCAGAGTCATGAAGCATTATGATGAATGTGGTAGTTTTGTAATCATGGGTCTGAGGAGTTTCATCTTCTCAGCACTGCTTATGGTAATGGCGAGACTGATGACGAGCACCTGGTCTCTGGGAGGCACTTAGGGGGCTGCACTGTTGGGTTATGCCGCAGGAATATGCTTACATGGTCAGCAAAGCAGAGAAGCTCAAGCCTTAGGCTCTGTTTGAGCTTTAATGACTTACATACTCAGTGATATTTTTTCTTTCTTTTTTAAACATTTATTTATTTTCGTTAGAAAGTCAGAGCTACAGGGAAGGTGAGCCAGAGAGAAAGATCCATCCACTGGTTCACTCCTTGAGTGACTACAACAGCTGGAGCTGAGCTGACCCAAAGCCAGGAACCAGGAGCTTCTTCTGACAGAGGTAGTCAAGAAAGAGGGCATCAGGGATTGGCGTGATGATACAGCAGGCTAAACCACTGCTTGCAATACCAACATCCCATGTTGGAGTGTTGATTCAACCTAAATTCAGCTTTCTGCAAATGAGCCTGGGAAGGCAGTCAAAAATGGCCCAAGTACATGGATCCCTGACACCCATGTGGGAAGCCAGAATTGATTTTGTGGTTCCTGGATTTGGCCTGGACCAGCCCTGGCTATGGAGGGGAGCAAAGCAGTGGATGGAAAATCTCACTCCCTTTCTGTCACTCTTTCAAATACATAATATAATGTTAATATGGGCTTCAAAATGGGGGTACTATTATCATTAGGTCCACAATTTTTTCTAAGATTTATTCACTTTTGTAGGAAAGACAGATCTACAGAGAGAAGCAGAGACAGAGAGAAGGATCTTTGAAGCTGAGCTCATCTGAAGCCAGGAGCCAAGAGCTTCCTTTGGGTCCCCATGCAGTCCCCCATGGTCCCCTATATGCAGGATTCCAGTGCTTTGGGCCATCCTCTCTTGCTTTCCCAGGCCACAAGCAGGTTGCTGGATGGGAAGTGGAGTAGCTGGGACACAAACCAGCACCATATGAGATCCCGGTGCACAGAAGGTGAGGATTTGGTCACTTAGGGTATTGTGCCAGGTCTGCAATCTTGAACAAATATTTCACTGTCCCAAGTCTCAGTTTCTTTACCTGTAAATAGAAATGAGAATTGCATGTATTCCGTTGGCTATTATGATTGAATCAAATGGCACAGTGCCTACCACAAAGTGCTCTTATAATCATTATTATTAGTTGTTAGTAGATGCCCATGTATGCATGTACATGTTTTGCTTGGCTTGGAGAAAACTGTGCTGGGATATTATATATTTCACTGGTGTTCATTTTCAGTATGCATAACCTATTATATTAATGTACCATTTTAGATTAGTGGAACATTTCAAGTAAATATTCCACCAGTTTTGCTTGGATATACTTGGAGTAAGACTTACATATCTCCTAAAGAAGATTGTGTTGGGCAGAATTTAAAAGAATGTATCTTCTTAAATATTTTTGCTACCATTGAACCACAAATATCACATGTCACCTGCAATCCAAAACTAGATAAGGTGGGTTTTATACTGAATTACTTTTTTAGATACCATCATGGATATATACGTTGTTTTACAAACCAATGATTGATAATTTCAAAACTAGCAAAAGTAAACATTTGTTCTTGATATTTTCTAATAGGAACAGTATTGCACAATGTTGAAGTACTTTAAATTTGATTATAGTTTTCAGATCAGATGGATATTTTGCACAGAGCTCTGATTTTTGAAAAAAACTGTAAGGCAATGTTTCCAAATAGAAGAATCATAACCACTGTTCTTAATGATGAAGGGGCACAGGTCTTAGTAACGAGATACATCAAGGCACTAAATCCACCTCAGCAACTTCTGGATATATTTCTTCAAGATTCGAACACAACCCTAGTGAGTTCTGTTTAACAGCGTCCTTGGTATTAGAAAACAGCTATGGAGAGTCGCTTTTACCTTCTGTTTGTGCATTCTTGTTCTTTTGTTCTCAGAATATTAATATTGTCTATGAATTACAAAACTTCCTTATCTGAACTCCTTAACCTGAAATCAAAAGTCCTGCTCTAGCCTGCCCTCTGCCTCTACTTTGCTTTTCCTTCAGGGGATTCCTCCTGTCTGTTATCCTGAGAGGCAGGTATCCATGGAGATAGGTTTCTTTCAAGGGCTATTTTTATCTTTCAGAAAACACATTCATTTTACCATTTTTGTTTATCAAGGGTTTGAATATGTGTGTTCATTGCATGAGGTCACCAGAGTGAAAGATCACAGTGCACAGATGGCAGCTGTCATGTGTCAATTGAAATTTGAACAGACTTTCTGTGTCAGCTCACCATGTCTTGTTCACCTTGCCTCTACCATTTCCAAGTGAGAAAGGCAACAGTATATAATCTGTTATTGGAGAAAGCATTCTTTGCTGTGACCACATGAAACAAGCTTTTGTTAAAAAAAAAAAAACCTGACAAATTTTGAACTTAAAGGCAAATCAAGCTTTTGCAATTTTCCAATGTTTTAAAGTTTAGCAGTTATACTTTAGGATCACATGTTTAATTCTAATGTATATTGTTGTAATGTTTAAAGTTTTATTATATTTAATAATTTGCTATAATAAAATGTATTTTTATATGGTTGATTTGTTTCCTCTTTTTTAAAAAAATAAATATGCTAGCTTCACTAGTATATCTCTCTTTTTGACATCCTATTTTAAAGATTTATTTTATGTGAAAATCAGCGATACACAGAGAGACAAAGAGATAGATCTTTCATCCACCGGTTCACTTTCCAAATGGTCACAGTGGTCAGAGCTGAGCTGATCCGAAGCTGGGAGCCAGGGGCTTCTTTTGGAGCTCCCATATGGTGCAGGGCCCCAAGGACTTAGGCCATTCTCCACTGCTTTCCCAGGCCATTTGCAGAGAGCTGGATCAGAAGCAGAACATCCAGGACTAGAGCTGGCTCCCATATGGGATGCTGGTGCTGTAGATGGAGGGTGCCAGCCCCTTGCTTCCTCTTCTGTGAAACTATAAATAATAATGTCCACTTTACAGGCTTATCGAATATGGTAAATGATATAATACATACATAGAAGTAAGCTTGGTGATATAACACCCTCAGTAGATGTTATTAATATTGTTCTAGGACCTCATTGCTCGATTTGTATCTTTGATCCCTTTTATGCCTGATACGCTGGATAAAAATGATGGCTCTGATATATGGATGACATCAGAGGTAACCAATTCCATTTTGTAATTAAAATGTATAGTATTTCTTACTTGATTCTCTTAAGACTCATTTAAAAAATATTATGTACTTATATAGTGCTTTCCCTTATGATATTTAGGATATTTATGTTAATTTTATGCATCATTTTCAGCTCTGTAACAATCTGAAAAGCTGTCATAGTATTGTGAAGGCTTTCCCTTCAAAACCTGTGAAAATTCAATGTAATAAATTGACAGAAAAATATATTTGAAATTTAATGCAGGCAATCATGGCTGTCACTACCCACCAGTTTAATATATTCACAAGTGAGTGGATCATGGGAAATGCTGACAATTTTTAGAGGAGTGATAGGTAAACTTTAGGAGCACTAAGGGAACTTGGAGAAATTTAGAGTGGCCTAGGACAAAGTCTGCTATTTTAGGACAATAAACATTAGTTATAAATTATTCTCTTTGGAATGTTGAATGCAACCAAAGAGGAATCAGTTGTGTGACAAAATTCTGTTCAAGTGCATTAACAGACTTCAGTCTTCTTTGTTAACACAAGAATTCAGTTAAATGAAAACTTGGAGAGGACCAAAGGAAATTATTCTTTTCCTTGGTATGGCTAGAATTTAAGCAGATAAGGAGACACTACAGAAACCATCTTTAGCCTAGTTCCTCTCTGAGTTTCTTTACTTTAAAACACATGTGGCACCATATTTTGAGATGACAGTCCCTAGGCCCCTTCAATCCCACACCCAGATTCTATACACACAAATTCTACTTGTAATCTCTTTAAAGACAAAGAGAGACTTGGTTCCTATTTGTTTTTTTTTTTATATTGTTTCCTTAATATATCTGATGTAAAAGGAAATTTTAAGGGAGAAGCCCCACCCAGTCTCCCACCCCAGGTCCCAGATGTGGGGCATGCTCCGAGGATCTTGCTCAAGTGGTTTTGATAGTTCAACAGTTCTGAATTGCTGCCACTCTCACCACTCCAAGCACAATGCAGTCGTTGGAGAATCCACTGATTGACATAGTCCATCATGTAGTCTCCATTTGCCCAGTATTTTCATTGCCAACATATAGCTGAGGTGGTTGATTGACTTGTTCTGACCTCTGTCATTTGATGGTTAGCATTCTGAGTCCAAAAGCTCAAACTTTGTCTGAGGTGTTCCCAGACCAGATTCTTGTATGTACTAGCAAGAACAGGGCCCAGCACCATCCATCGCCACAATCAGCTGGTGGTTGCCATTGCTGAGTTGGTTTCGTTTCCATCCCTGTCTTCCACTGGAACCAATGGGTGTTTGCAGTCCAGCCTGGTTCTGCCCAGCACATACTCAGCCCTCACATAAACCAGTGGGAGCTGCAGCCCAGCCAGAGCGACCCACAATAACCCCCTACTCTGGTTTGCCAGTATGTGTGGCAGACTAGTCCAGTCTGTCCCACATCCCCTTCTGCTCTCATACATGTCGATGGGTATTAAAACCTTGTCCCATCTAACGAGCTCAACTATCCAGCCTTCACGGATGTTGTTGGGTGTCTCTGTCTAGCCACCTCAGTCCCCGTCTTAGTTTTTGTGCCCTTCTGTGGGGGGTGGTAACCCAAGAGGGAGGAGCCCACTATTTCCCTCCCAAGCCACTCCCACTCCCAGATTATGCACTCTCCAGGTGGTTCTGTGGTTTAACTTGACAGAACTAGCTCCCAGTGCCAGTGTCTGCCAGCTGATGCTGTAGCTAAGCCCCAACAACCTTCACCCACTCTAATTGTAGATTGCACCAGTAGGAACAATCAGCTCAGCCTGGTTTTTCCCTGATCTGGGCCACATGAGGCACACAGGTGCTATATTCCTGCCTAGTCTGGTCTACCCCCATCCCAGCTCACACTCTCCAGTGGGAGTAGCTATTCAGCAAGGGTTCCTATTTATTCTTAAAATTTATCACTTTTACACAGCTTTAAATGTAGCAATCATTCAAAAAAATGTTTTCAAGTGTAAAGCACAAGTTTTATCAAAACTTTAGAGAAGGACACTTTGACCTGGACCTGATGTCCTGGCTCTTGTCTAGATGTTTTAGTAGCTAGGTTTGAGCTGAAATGGATTTCGGGAGCATCAAGTTAACAAACTTATTACTGTACCTTCTGCTATGTAGGACTAAGGGAGAAAAACATGATTTTACTTTAGGTTCCAGCAATTCAACTCTATTAGAATTCAGAAAGATTTCTTTCCATCTAAATTCTTCTGAGATTCTTTGAACTGATGTTTTTAAGAGTATTATCATTCTGCAGAACAATAAACAATGCTAAGATAAAAATAATCGTGGCAGCAAATACTAGTATACCCAAGTCTCCCAGCCAAACATAACAGAAAATTAAGATGGTTACCACAGAGTCACTACTCCTCTTGGCCAGATCTTCCCACTGACATGATTCTTTGGTCACAGGATACTGGGGAGTATGACTAATTTCTCAAGACAAAAGAGCTTTTTTTTCCATTTAGTAGTATTTAGAGTCAAACAAGCATGGATTTAAATCATAGTTCAACAATTTAATAGCTGTTTAGCCTATCTAACCTCACTGGGCCTCAATTTCCTTACCAATGTTATACAGGTGACTTAAAAGAACCAAAGGAGACGACATCTGGATTTCAAGAACTGTAAACTACCTACTCCTTATCCTAACCCTCCTCTTAAAAATTCAGCCATGGGAATCTCCAAGAAGGTCTCTTTAAGTATTTTCTCTAATCCCTCTCTCTCACCATCACATTGAGTCAGTGTCTATTGATATGGACACATCAGTTGTTAAAACAGTGAAACACCCATGTTGGGTACAAATTATCTGGTCACTTCATATGATAAAGATGCTACCTGGTAGTAAAGATGCTAACAGTGTTTGCAACCAATACTCTTTCTGTGAAACTCTAGCAAACATGGGGATTTCTGCTTGGCTGTCATCCTTGGAATCTGGTAAAGGCAAGTATGCTTGTGACAGGAGGGAGAGTAGGACACTAAGCCTGCTGGATGTTCACATTGGTTCACTTTCCATCCCTTGTTTCTGGCTGTCACTTTGTTCTTCCATAGCGCTGCATCAGCTTGGCTATTGGAAATAAGGAGGAGCATGCCATACTTCTGTGTAATTTCTTCCTATATTTTGGAAAGAGTGCTCTGGTCCTCCTGGGAACCTCAGTATTAGAGGTAAGTTCTGGAGTTCAAGCAAAACTGCATCAGATGTTTCAGCCATAAGTTTAAGACTTCAACACAAAGTTTCCATCTTCTAACATGCTGATTAGGAACTTTCACAGACCAGTTACTAGTCAAGAGGACACTTCTTGTTCAAAGTGTTCTGCTATACAAAGAATAACTTCCTTTTGTTATTCTCTTTTGGAAAATAGTACTAAAATAGTGTTACTTGATAAGGTTCCTGGGAATGTGTAAATATATAAAAGACTTTGGAAACAGCATGTCTTCACCACGTGGTGGTGGTGGCTATGCAGCAATACTTGCAATGTAGTTGTCGTGGTTATTATCAATTCAAAATACCTACATTGTCTTCCCATGTTTTCAACCCTGTATCTTTAAGATTGTTAAGAAACACTTGTTCTGGGACCTGGTGCAATGGCTCAGTGGCTAAAATCCTTGCCTTGTACTTACCAGGATCCCATATGGGCACCGGTTTGTGTTCCAGATGCTCCACTTCCCATCCAGCTTCCTGCTTGTGGCCTGGGAAATCAGTAAATAATGGCCCAAAGCTTTGGAACCCTGAAACCATGTAAGAGACCAGGAGAAAGCAACTGGCTCCTGGTTTCAGATAGGCTCAGCTCCAGCCATTGCAGCTACTTGGGAAGTAAACCAGCAGATAGAGGATCTTTTTGTCTCCGTATTTTTTTCCCTTTTTTAAAAGAAACACACATTCTCATACTAAGCTTGTTAGGTGTTAATATTAAAAGAAGTGGGACAAAAACTCATGTTTAGCTGTCTGAAATATTGATAATCTATTTTATATGTTTTTGCATTCATTCTACAACAAAACTGTCTCTTTTGGTCTATTTCTATCCATACCTGTGTAACTTGCTAAATGTTAACATTATCAATCTTTTCTTATAGTTTTTATTATGGCCATTTGCTTCTCTATGTTCCCCTGGCATAACTTGTTACTTATTTTTTAATTTCATTTTTATAATGATTACATGGTTGATCGAAGGATGGAAGTTAGGGAAAATTGGGTGTTCTCATTGCTTCCAAATTTGCTATTTCTTCTTGTTTCTTGGGGAAGGAGAGAGACAAAGAAGGAAATCACTCACAACTTTGCCACACATCCTGGTCCCCAGGGATGAGGAATGCCACCTCATATCAACCCAGAGTCTCAATGTGTACATATTCCAAAGGTTCTGTCCAAGTGGTTTGGATAGTTCTGAAATGCTGCCAATTTCACCGATCCAAGGATGATGTCACCTTCCCAATGTCCATTGGCTCCATTCACTGAGATTTTTTGCTGTCATTGTTTGTCCTTGGACTTGCCTGCAAGAACATGTCCTACTTAATGAAAAAGGCAGAGCAGTGGGCACAGGCCCTGTTGTAAAAGGAGAATTTGGCAGTTCACTTGGTGCTGTAGCAGAAGAAGGAGAACAGAACAAACTGGACAACTGCTTGTTACTTCTGTATTAAGTTTCTTAACCAAGAGCCTAAATGTATTCTCCCATATGAACGTCTGCTATAGTTTTAGGTACCACTAGGTGGCAGTACACAGTCGACGATATTTCGACAGTGTTTGCCTTTGCAACTGTGAGCCAACTGCATGGGAGGCAGCCCTACAGTCAAGACAGCCTGTTCTTTAGTCTCAGATGAGCAAAGAGATAAATGTAAGGGTCGTGGAGTTAGGAAGACAAGAATCCCCAGCGTAGTATTAATTTAGGTCTGGTAGTGTGACTATAGTTCACAATACTAATGCTTTATGGACAGGAGCTCAAAGGCTCCATACACAGAGATATCTAGGAGATACAAATGCTACCACCCTGATTTTATTAATACACACTGTATACATATATAGAAATGTCACACTGTGTTCCGTAAATATGTACAATTATTACATGTTAATCAAAAACCTAAATTTTTTAAATAGAAGAAGAAAAGAATATGGGTTTGGGAGACGATCAGGCCTAGATTAGTCACTCCACACAGCGGGGACAATGGCCTTGATTGTCACCCTCTCTAAGCCCCTGCACCTCTGAGCTTTATCTAGAAGGTGAGCACAATAATCCCCACCCCACAGAATCAACAATGAATTAACCTCAAAAAACGAGTGTGTGAATATTTCACAGATGTTAAATAGTCATTCTTGCATGAAATGTTTGTTCTTTGCTAAGAAAGGCTTACACTGTAACAAGTATGTGCAGAGCAAAATGACACGATGACCATTTTTTGTTGCTCACATTGGTTTCCTGTATACTTTCTTATTAACCTCTAATTAAAAATCATGTTCTTAATAACAGCCTCTCAATGTCTTAATATTTTTTTCAGACATGTAAGCCTGTTTCCATCTTTAACTCTGGTGTTTGTTCTTAGCCTCCAAGTGTATTCTAACCAAAGCAGGGCTAGTCCCTGCTATGTGAGAATAAGACAATAGCACCCCTACTTCAAGACACTTTGGTGCTGTCTGTGAGGAAATCAGCATCATAAGTCAGTTTTGTTGCATATTTTCTTGCCATCGGGACAGCCTCCACATACATGGAAGCACTGACACACCAGTTATCTTGTCTGTATCCTCATGCCATCCTACTCTTGGCATTCTGGGACATGGATTATTTATCTCTTTTCAAAAATTTTTTTAAATTTAGAAATCAGAATAATTACATTATATTTTCCACATATAGAAATTAGTTAAGGGGCCAGTGTGTAGACTTAACTGGCTAATCCTCCATTTCCAGTGCTAATATCCCGTACAGGTGCCAGTACATGTCCCAGCTGCTCTACTTCCTAGTCAGCTCCCTGCTGTGGCCTGGGAGAGCCGCAGGATGGCACAGTGCCTTGGGACACTGTACACAGAAGGGAACTGATGCAGCAACAGCCATTGTTTGGGGAGTGAACCAGTGAATGGAAAAGCTTTCGCACTGTTTCTCTTTCTCTCTGTAAAATCTGCCTTTCCAATTAAAAATAAGTAAATCTTTAAAATAAAATAGATCTTTAAGAAGAAAAAAAACCAAAACTAGTTATATCTACTAAAGATAATATTACCTTTTTCCCTTGAACAGGGCCAGGTGGCTTATGTATTGACTCAAGAAAATGATGAATATTTGCTCTGGAATCCATCAACTGGGCAATGCCATAAGCAGTTTGACCCATTTTGTCCCTTGCAAAGTATAGATTGTTTGTTTGATGATAAAAATGTAAGTATATGGGGAAAATTGCTACCTCGAGAACTACCCTAGCCACACATTAGATTCACTTGGGGGACTTTGAAGACAAAGTGGGAATTCAACCAGAATTCCCGGAGTCAGGGGCCTGGGAAAACTTCAATCTCTGGAGCTTCCCAAGGTGACGCTGTAGCGCCTGCATGACTGAGAACCAGTCAGGTACTCCTGTGATCATGAAGCCTGGAGTCTCAATATTTCTTGCCTTGGAACCTCTCTTACAAAGCACTGAAAAATAGGATGGTAAAATTTTGCTCCATGTTCTTCTACTGTGGTCTTGTATTTCCATGAGCCTATGCTGACTTTTTGTTAATATCTTAATAGGTGTGGTTTAATATTCAACAAAATAATACACCAATGGCTATACATTTTGACTATTCAAAAGAAAGTTTCTGGAAACAGTTAATTCCAAAAAACTTCCAAGGGATGAAATCACCAAGCATACAGGTAAACCATATTTCTGTAGGTGTGTCTGTAAGTGGCCATTGTCTCTGATTTTTATTAGTTGTGACAGTTCTTGTATCTTGTAGTTGATCACTTATTAGCAGTATTAATTTTAAAAATCTAGTTTCCTTTGTTTTACAACAAAGATGCAACTGAAAACTGTTAATAAAATAAGCCAGTCCCAAACCAAGTATCATATTATTTCTCTGATTTGTGGTTATTAATACACAGAGAGAAAAAAGTGTAATATATATGAGTGAAAATAACATTTTGAGGTTTGCTTGTTGTTTACAGACCTTGTCTGTGCTCTTGAGGAACGGTCCTTTTCCACTTACTGCCTGTTGAATTCTTTATTTACAGGAGGGTTAAGTTTGTAATCATAAACTAAGCTAAAAATACATCATTATTAAATAAATTAAACTAAAAATGAAAGAAGAAAACCAGCCTTTTCTAACAGCTAACTTATGTTTAGGCAACATCAGGCTCTTTCTTTCTCTGAAGAAAAAAAATTAAGAAGAAAATATCCCAAATAAAAATTTGTTTTAAAATAGAATTGAACTTTTTAAAAATAATGAAAATAAAGAAATTAGTGTTCAAGATAGTATAAGTTCTTACTTTGACCTAGCGCTTCTGTTTCATATCCATGATGATGATCAAATAGAGAAATTTACAAACAGAGGGTTTACCTGAGTTCCCAACCGTGGCAGTTAACTTATGGAAATCAGATGGGACAGGCACACTAACAGGTGAGTGGTCTGAAGCAAGGAAGGAAGCTGGTGTGAAAATGCTCCAGGAAAGCCAGTGATCTGACCCAGGCATCACTTTCTAAAGCCAGGGACTATCGTGGAGTTATACAAATCCCCTACTTTTTAACAAAGATGGGGCTAGAGACAGGGAATTACCTGCACTCACTGGAATTTAGAAGGCAAGAGACCAGGAATTGATCCAATCATTAGAAGGTTTGACCACTGTCCCTGTTAGGTATTTGGCATCGCTTTTGGAAAATATTCAAAACACAGTGTCAAAAACTGTTTCTGGGTTGAGGGTCATGGTGTCACAAGAATATAGGTAATTGCAAAGTCTGCAAACTAGAAACTAGGGAGAGGAAAAAGAACATCAAATAGCAACAACAACAAAAAACTCACAGAAATTCAAATGCTCAACCTCACTCATAATCAAGGAAATGTAATATAAAACAATAAATCTCTTTTACAAACATAAAGTTGATGGGAATATTATATTTTCTTTTAAAATTGATTTATTTTTATTGGAAAGGCAGATTTACAGAGAGGAGAAACATAGGGAAAGGTATTGCATGCACGGGTTCACTCCCCCAAATGGCCACAACAGCTGGACCTGAACCTATCTGAAGCCAGGAGCCAGGAGGCTCTTCCAGGTCTCCAACATGGGTGCAGGGTTCCAAGGCGTTCCCAGGTGATAAACAGAGAGCTGAATGGGAAGTAGAGCAGCTAAGTCACAAACCAGTGACCATATGGGACACCAGTGCTGCAAGGCAGAGGATTAGCCAGGTGAGCCATTGTACCGGACCCTCTAAGATATTTTTCATGAACCTTTTGAAGTACCCTTATAAGTACAAAGCCATTTGTATGAATGAAGTCAGAGATTAGAATACAGGGTACTTCAAGTCTGTCTGTGGTATATTCTTTACAAATATAAAACAAATTTGGAAGGGTACAATTAGATATATCCAAGTGTGTTGTGTAGATGATTTTTATAATACACGTAATGCTTACCTATGTATTTGAGGCAATTTACAACACTAACAAGAATGCATAGTGGTTGTGAGAGGGAAACCAAATACTGAAATATGCAAAGTGAGAAACTTTCCTCCTTTTTAACACCGTTTTCCCACTGTCAGTTCCTTTTGTAACCTTCTAAACATTTCTCCATTCAAACACAGCACATAAATATTTATATTTCCTTTCTGAAAGTCATTTTAAAGAAGAGTAAATGTGCATCTCTTTCTTGAGAAATCACATTTTCCGCCTCTTGCAGTCCATCCCTTTCTGTTCCCCCCCCAAATCTGTGACCAAACCATTACCATCTGCTAGAGGGAAAATGATCTGTGTAGAGATGAAGTGGGTTTTTTGTTGTTGTCTGTTTGCTTGTTTCTTACATAATTATACTCTTATTCACTCAGGTGACATATATTAATTTTCTGAAAATTTTTGGCTGTAGGTTCCTGGGTGGAAAGATTTGTCTTGGTGTACTTGGCACTTGGGATCTAGAGGAGGACACAGAAGGATATAAACAATTGCAGTGCAGTAACAGTTCTATTAGAGAAGAAATGCATGTGCCTTGGGAGCCAGAGCAAGAAGACCTGAGGAAGGGAATGTGCTGGGCCTTCTTGGGAAAAGTGATAACACACCAAGGGGCGCTGAGCAGGACCTTGCCTGGGTGAAAGTCAGGGAAGAGACTGATCTTGGTAGAGAGCAGGACCAGCAGAAAGGAAGATGCAGTGATAAGGAGATGTCCGTTGAGGTGCTGATGGGTGAGCTTGGCCACTGGCAGGGAGGTAGGAAGGATAAGCAGCATCGTTGAAGAATTTGGGCCTTTGAAACCCTCAGCACGTTCAGAAACCAACATCCCAGAGGTAAGTGCTACCATGTTCAAACTTGTACATTTATTCTTTGATATTTATTTGTTTGTTTTATTTGAGAGACAGAGATAGAGATAAACAGAAATTTTCTGTTAGTTCACTACCTAGATGCTCACAATAACTGGGGCTAGGCCAGGTAGAAGCTAAAATCACATCTGAGTCTTCCAAGTAAGTGACAAGGAACCATGTATTTGCATCCTAGTTTTTTGCCCCCCAAATTGAATTAGCAGTAAAGTGGAATTAATTGGAAGTGGCTTAAGACTTGAACACTGTGGGATGCAAGAACCCCAGTTGGCATTTTAAAACCTCCATTAGGTGCTAGGGCAGCAAGCACTATTATTGTTCCTATTTTGATTATGGTAACTAGAAGCTCAGAACAGATGAGTTAATTAACTTTGCCCAGGCCATAGTTGGTAAATCGAAGAGACCGTTGTGGCTGCCCAAGATTATTTGGTAGGACCCACAAGCAATCCAAATCCTCATTTGAATAAATAAATGGGATAACAATTCTTCTAACCCATGAAAAAATTTTTTTCATCTATAAGTCCTTCATCCTCATCCTTTCCACTGGCTCTGATGAAGAATCTGATGAAAAGCAACACTACGATCTATATTTTATCTATGGAATCAGTTTTGCCATAAGAGACTGATTTGGGTTCCCCCTCACTGCAGTTAGGCTAACACTCCAGTAAAGCCAGTATTTACAGAAGCTTTCTGAATGTTTGATTGTATGTATTTCAGCCTGAAGAAATCATTTATTCTGATACTAATAAAAGCATGGTAGAAGACTTAAAGAACAGGTACACTTTTTTTTTCTAGTCTGATTCAGTCATCTTTCAATCCTCTAACTTAGCCTTTCAAAGTAACTATAGATTTATCACCAGGAGCATGATGAAGGAGATAGTCTCATCAAACACTTTTCTTTTGGTATATATGCATTAAAAAATGGCCCTTCTGCAATCCAGGATACTCTGTAAAAACAGTGTAAATCTGTTCTGAAAGACATGGTGAGCCACTATTGGAAAGTTCTCAACACACATGTCTGTTTAATCTGTAGTATAAAAAAAAATCCAGTTGAGTGGTCAGAACAGAAATGCTGTTACTCCAGGGCCCGGCGCGGTGGCGCAAGTGGTTAAAGGTCCTCGCCTTGCACGCCCGGGATCCCATATGGGCGCCGGTTCTAATCCCGGCAGCCCCGCTTCCCTTCCAGCTCCCTGCCTGTGGCCTGGGAAAGCAGTTGAGGACGGCCCAAAGCTTTGGGAACCTGCACCCGCGTGGGAGACCCGGAAGAGGCTCCTGGCTTCGGATCGGCATAGTATCGGCCCGTTGCGCTCACTTGGGGAGTGAATCATCGGACGGAAGATCTTCCTCTCTGTCTCTCCTCTCTGTATATCCGCCTTTCCAATGAAAAAATAATAAAAATAAATCTTAAAAAAAAAAAAAAAAAAGAAATGCTGTTACTCCAGCACTCCCAATAAACTCAGCCAAGATTCCAGTAGGCTCTGCTGTAGAAATAATCCCACACAGTCATCCTTCATAGAGGAGAGGCTTCCTGGGGGAACCCCACATACACTTTTGTATCCCCTCTTTGCCCTACCTAGCACAGTTTATCATTAGGCACTGTGCCAGGGGCTAGATATACAGGCATACGTCCCTGCCCTTATGAAGGTTACAAAATTTATGACAAATTATAATCCTTTAAAACCTTTTGTAAAAAGGTTACAAAATAGTAGGGACAAGCTTGTCACCATATTTATTAGCCCAATGTTTGATTTCCTCCCAAACCTACTAAATTTAATTGATCTCATAATCTATCCTTGCCAACATCATTCCAGATTAAATATCTGAATTTTTGTAAAGACTGTTTCTTGGAAACAGCATGTCCTGTATCTGAGAAGAGTCTTGCGTTGTAGAAATGTCAGCCCAGGAATCAGATGGTAAGGGTTGTCAAGTCATACCCAAGGCACCCAGCTACTGGAAGAGACCTCTTGCAGAGCTAATTGCTGCCCAACCTGGGTGGTTTCTTGCCTTCCCCAGCCAATCAGGAACCTGCTTCTTCTCCCCAGTCTGATTGTCATGAGTGGTGGCAGACACACTTAGCTAAGGAGGTCTGAATTCCTCCCAAGTCTGGAACCATTCTCATATCTGAATAAAAGCAATTATTAATCACATTTATTAAAGGATTATAATTTGTCATAAATAATCTTTACATTCTTACTTTAGAATTGAAAGGACTCTAAAGGGCAAAATTATGGAATGGAGACCCAAACAGCCAACACGTTGGAATCGACAATGTACTTCTATTTTGCGACAAATTCTTCCTAAGCTGGAACTTGGCACAGGAAGTTTTGTTTCACCTGAAGAAGAGAATGATTTTGAAAGATTGCTTCAGTTTTATTGGGTATGTATATGACTTGTGTGCTAATAGCATTTGTTTTAACTATGTTGCCAATTTCTAAATAATAGAAATCTTAACTCTCAAATACCTTATATGTTCATCCTCAATGATAGACACTATGATATTAATGTCCATTTGCTTACAAACCAAGACATTTCAAAGGGAGGGAAAATGAATACCAGGGCAACATGGCATAGCTATTCTTAGCATAGTTTTCTGAGAACTAATTGTGTGCTTTATGTCATATGAAGGATAAACTTTGGGCAAAAATACCCCAAAGGAAAACACTTTACAGATAACACAAAGACAAATGGTCCCTAATAATAGACTGACATTTGTCACTGGTTCCGGGCAAGAGAAAGTCAAACTTCCCTATCTTATGAGTGTAAATTATGTTGAGTTTTATACATGCAACCTAGATTTCTCTTCTGACTTCTCACTTGTATATTCACCAGCCCACTGATACTGTCTTGGATGCTAAAATGATATCTCATACTGAAGTCCATAGTAAAAGGAATGGACATTTGATATATTAGTAGGATCTTCCTTTCCTTCTCCTATCCTACCTCATGCTCTAGGAATCCATTAATTGGTCTGTCTTCTGTGATGTGGTCCAGTAGGTTTTTGTAAACACCAGTTTCCCAAAGTTGAGACTCCATCTACCTTCCACCCTGTAGACTAGAGGAAGTCTTCTGGGGAATTCCCTGAGGGAAGGAAATGAGGAAAAGCTTGGGAGTTAAATACTTAGGCTGCCTAGGAGGGATTCCAGGCACTATTCATTCATGAACAGGGAAAAAGAAATTGTTTTATCTTGCTTTGTTTTTAATAGAATTAAGAGGGTAGAGACATAAGTTAAATTGAAATAAATATAAGCGAAGTTTCAAACAACGATACTCCTCTGTAAAATTATCTAATTATTTAATTCTATGCAGTCTATAGTAGTAAATCTAGACTGAATTTGGAAGCCTTGTGTTCAAATTCTGGTCTCATAAACTTTGACTTAGAATTACCTAACTTCTCTAAGAATTACCTAACTTCTCTAACCTAACAGTGATATAATTAGTTCTATATTTTGTGATTCTAATGAAGATTAAGTGAAAAATACTTAGACTGTGGCACCTAGCACCTGGTGTTTAGTAAGTGCTAGTATTCTACATGCCAGGTATTGTGCTAGGCACTGGAATTATGAGATTAATGAAAGCAGATACAATCTGTGTATTCACACAGATTGCAGACTAACTATGGACCATGAAATAGGCAACTGTAGTGTAAAGACATTGGGCCCAATTGTAGATAAAGACTGTGGACCCAACCAGATGGGAAAAGCATGTGAATTGATTTAATAGGAAAGATCCTCCTGGGTTAAACAATATGTCTTGAAAGAGATTTATTCTTATCATTTGTGTATTATGCAATAGACACTTTTGCATATATGTTCTCCAGTTCCTTCATCTTGCCGCATAGTCATCATCTAACAAGTATAAATTCACAAATATAACAAATCAATGTCTAATAAATGCTTCCAAAATTTTCACTTAACTCCCACATGTGTAGGATTAAATAATTTCTTTGTCAACAGTTTGCTATCCAGAAAGAGTGTGAGATTGTGAAATGTAAAGTGTGAGAATGTGAAATGTAAAGTGTGAGAGCTCGGATACCAGGCAGACCTGACTCTATTCTTCTCTATCTGCGAAGTGGGACTATAGTAGAACTCACTGCATAGAGTTGTCCAGTGATTAAACATGCATGTGAAGCAATTAGCACTGGATCTAAAGTATAATCAGTACCCACAAACAGCTTTTATGACTGCCATTTCTCAGAGGCTTCTGTGATCTTTTTGCCTACAGTAACTCCATGACCTATGTGACTGATGTGGGTTTTTGTGTTGTTTTGTCTTTGATGCAGATCACAGGCTTTCCCATCCAGATGCCATACACTGATGTACAGTCAGTTACTGATGCTGTGTATCAAACTGGAATTCACTCCTCCCAATTTCCTCAGACAGAATTTGCTTTAGCTGTGTATATTCACCCATTCCCAAACAATATTTTATCTGTGTGGGTCTACTTGGCTTCCTTATCCCGACATCAGTGAAAAGGAAAGGACTGTAGTATGTTCTGGGACTTTGGAATCTTTCTGCTGATCTTCAAGTCGAGCCAAATACTGAGCCAATGTTTGATTCACACTTAGAGCTGAGCACTATGGAAAATCATCCCACTGGGTTTAAATAATGTCCTTTGGAGACCTCTTCAAAAAGGACCTCTGGTTGCTTTGGCTCACCATCTTAATTTGGAAAAGAAGCAAAGAAGTCCAAAATAATTACATCATGTATCTCTCACCCACTCCCTCAAAATCACCTGGAAAATCTTGCTAAACATGCTGGTTCCCAGATCTCACTCAGAACTAATGTTTTGAGCCTGCATTCTTTTTAACACACTCCCCAAGAAATTATGATGCAGAGTAAAGAGTAAAAACTCAGCCTTACAATGTTATTATTACCAAAATGAGATTAGTACATTTGATGCTTGCTCTGATCATTGCCCTAGTAAAAAGTTATTTCACTGAAAAAGAAAAAAAAAAAAAGAAATTGTATGATGTTGGGCTAAGGGTTGAAGACTGAGTTTGGCCTCTGGAGGCCTCTGAGAGTTTGCACCTGGGATTCCAGCACATGAAATATCTACATCTCCAAAGATCTAGAAAGGACAAGGGGAGGAAATGGCCTCAGCAGATCTCAGAGTTCCTTGTTTCTGGAATGAGTGGCGAACGCACTGTTTTTCTGCTGCTTTCCTTTGCCAGCCAAGGTCCCAGGAAAAGGAGTCAGGGATCCAAAAAGGAAGCACATTATTTTCTCTGTTCTCTGCTTCATTGAAAAGAGCACTGATAAAACTAACTTCAATGTGTTACGGTAGCCTGTCAATTACAAGTAATCAAAGGATATAGATTTCCAAAAGTTGCTCAAAACAGCTTTGTCTGCGATTTAAAAAGTAAGAGAAGGAAAATTCACCTCTTCCCGTACCGGAACACTAGGGTTCTTTGGTTAACTCCCACAAGCAAAGAGCAGCAATCTTAAATTCATCTACAGGGATCTTCTCAAGAGGCGTCGACATGGGCTGGTACCATGGAATGATACATTCATTTACAGTGATGTTACTCTTGAAGCAGTTGGGGTTATTAGAAGAGGCAGAGGAGGAATATAGGTAAAACCTGATTTTGTGCAGCTCCTGGCATAGATAAGAAAGCTATCAGAATTTTTGTTTTTATTTCAATGCTTTTGTGTACATTTTGTGCATAATGTTGTTATTTAATAAGCCTCTCACTGTGATTGAGATAGGGTAAAATTGGAAAGATGAGGTTGCCTGTGGAAAGAAATGCTGAATCCATAGAGTTCATTTCCGTGGCGTTTTAAGGTTTGCACAGCTGTTTTAGCGGTCGTTAATAGTTTTAGAATTGGTAACTGCTAACAAGTCAGGTAAAATGCTACAGGAAGAATGCAGGACCTTTCTACACTGTGGGTATTTTTTTAAACTTCTTTTTTGTTTGTTTTGTTATTATTGTGTACAATTTTAAACACACATATGAACTATTTTTCAACTAATTTCTTTCCTGAAAATTATGAAGTTGTCTTTGACAAATTATTTTTGTTGTTCAAATGTTTCAACAGAAACAACTTTACATGGAATGTATAAGATTTTTAAAAATCATTTCACAAATAAGATTATATAGTATTTATTATGTGCTGGAACACCTCAGTTCATGCTGCAATACAACAGTGAAAAGGGCAAGGTCCTAGCAATGTGAAGTTTATATTCTTAGGGTGAATAGACCATAACAAATGGTGAGTGGGAGAGAAATTTGAAGGTATAATGAGTACTGAGATAGTAAAAAAATAATTTGAATAGGGACAGGGATGGAAAATGTAAGAGCAGTAAGAGAGAATGTTTGAGCTGAGATTTAAAGAATGATTTATAAATTAGAGTTGCATTCAGTTGTGTGTAACAAAACTTAACTAAACCATGCTAGCTTAACTAAATAAAGAATCCCTTTCCAGGTAACTTCATGTCTGGAGGAAACAGCTCATGCCTAATGCAATGGCTTCATAGTTCCATAAGTGTACTAACCGTCTTCTGACTTCTTGGCCATCTTTAAGGACACTTCTATCTTTTACCTCAGTGGCTTTCAAATTTCAGGAAGTATAAGACTCACCTAAAGGTCTTGCTCAACCAGAACTCAGCGGGTCCCAGTCCCAGAGTTCTGACTGTGTGTTTAGGTTGGGATCTGATCATTTGTGTATATAAGTTCTCTGGTAAGGCTAAAACTGCTGATTGCAGGCCAAATGGCTATAGCTTCCCAGCCATTTTCATGGCCAGAAAACGTAGGATGGGAAAGGGTGAGGGCAGAGAATGCCTGCTGGTTTTACTGTTTTGGAAAAGTTTGCCAGAAGTGCTTGCCAATAAATTCTTAAAAAAAAAAAAAAAAGATTTATTTATTTTTTATTGGAAAGGCAGATTTACAGAGAAGGAGAGAGAGATCACCCATCCACTGGTTCACTCCCCAGATGGCCACAACGGCCTTTGAGTACAGCTAATCCAAAGCCAGGAGCTTCTTCTGGGAGTACAGGACTTTGGGCCATCCTCCACTGCTTTCCCAGGCCAGAAGAAAGGAGCTAGATGAAAAATGGAGCAACCAGCACACATTCCAGCTCCCATATTTGGTGCTGCAAGGCAGAGCATTAGCCAGTTTAACTGTCATGTTAGCCCTATCCAGTAATGTCTTATATACCTGGTCCCTGGGATGCTGAGAAGATTAAATATTTTAAATGGATGGACTGCTCTCCCAACTAAAGTTAACACTCTATTGGGGAGGAAAAGGGATAGGTTAGCTGTTAGACAAATCACTGAGTGTACCACAGAGGAAAGGAAATCAGTCTTGTACAGATCTGTGCAAAACAAGGTGAAACAGAAAAACAACAACATTGTCAAAGCCTTCAGGCTTGAATGACACTTGCCTGGAGAGGACAGAGATTACGTAAGGACCAAATGACATAGACTGTTGGTAGAATTTTGATTATTCTCAAGAACAATAGAAATCACTGGGTCTGACATTGTAACTTTAGTGGATTATGCCTCAGCCTGTGACCAGCATCGCCCATGAGTGCAAGTTCACATCTTGACTGCCCAAATTCCAATCTAGTTCCCTGCTAATGGTCTGGGAAAGCAGTGGAAAGACAGTTCCAGTGTTTGGGCTCCTGCTACCCATGTTGAAGACACAGATGAAACTCCTGGCTACTGACTCCTAGCTTTGGCCTGGCTCAGTCCTGGCCATTGGAGCCATCTGACTCCTCTCTGTCTCTCTCTGTCTCTCTCTGTCTCTCTCTCCTTTGTTTCTCCCTCTCCCTATAACTCTTTCAAAATAGACAAATCTTTTTTTTAAGAAAAAAAAAAAGGAAATAATTAGAAAGTTCTATGAAACTATAGGAAATTTTTTTCTTTTTTATTTGAGATTATTTTGAAACCATTTTAACAGATACTTGTTATTGTGTGAGTACATAAATGTGATCCTGTTTTTCAAGTGATGACTTTTACTTTTCCAGTATTGCTTGGAGCCCCGTCTCACTGTTCTCTCTTTCTCTACCCACATTATTGATTTCTCTCACTCCGTGCTAATTAAGGGCATATCCCTCAACTCAACTACCATTCTTGGATATTCACATAACACATACAGTTCATATTTGCATTTGCTCCTGTTTGTTTTACCAAGACTTACCTGTATGCTGCCTTTCTCCTTCAAAAATGGTGAAACCTCTCCAACTGAACTAATAGAATCTGTCAAAGGGATACATAATATTTATCCTATTAGGCAGCACCACCTCAGATGCCTGTGTAGGTTATATATCACACAACTCAAAGCTTATGTATAGTGATCCCTGGCGTTGTGTAATATGTAGCAGTCCTAATTGTGAAAATTATTTACTATAGTTTATTCAACCACTTTAGAAATTCCTTCAGGTCTAGTTGATTGATATATTGGTTAATCTTGGCATTTCGTTTTGTTGTGTGCTGTTGACTTCATATCTTGATATATATATTTTAAAGGTTTATCCAGGGTTTGTGTAAATGCTTTTCACAGTCCATATAAAATATACTTTGTATCTCTTCAACTGGACTATAGAAATCATATCACTTACATATTCCTTTATGCTCTGCCATTATGGGATAGTTGTATATGTTGTAGCTTTTGAAATGCACACAGAAAAACACTAGAAGATGATGTTATGTTTGTTTCAGCCATCCAACATATCATAAAAACTCAGGTAGAGAGAATATCTACCTAGACATCTATCATGATGTTTTCCTGCTGGTTTTTCAAATATGCTAAGTTTTTTTTAGCATAATTTTCCCTCTGTTTAAAATATTTCAGGGCAGGGGACTATGTTGGAACTATAAGGTAATTCAACAAAGTGGAAAATTTTAAATCAACATACAAAAATAGTAGCATTGTGTGCATAACTCTAAACAACATTTCAATGTTAAGTGGTAACATAATATAATTTTGCTACTTGTATTTTTCTTGATTTATGTCAATAAACATAGTTCTGATTCATTAAAAAAAAAGAATCATTGTTACACCAATAGTGAATTACCCAAGAAGCAAATAAACAACCCCATTTTCAGTAATTATAAATAAATACATAAAATATCTAGAAATAAAGTAACCAGAGATGAAAGATAGTTACAATAATAGCTATAAATCAATGATGAGAGACATGGAAAAGGACTCAAAGAAAAGGATGGATATCTGATGTTCATGATTTATAAGAATCAGTATTATTAAAGATGTCTGTATTACCTCCCAAATTATTTGCACTTTTAGTATGATCTCTTCCAAAATACAAAGCTACAGTAATTAAAACAGCATGCTATTGTTACAAAAGATTTGTAAACCAATGGGAAAAAGTAGAGATGCTAGAAATAAACCCACACATCTACAGCCAACTAAAATCCTTGACAAAATTGCTAAGAACATGATTGGAAAATCAACAGTATTTTCAATAAACGGTACTAGAAAAATGAGATGTCTATCTCTAAAAGAATGAAACTAGACCTCTGTTTCTAAACATATACAAAAAAATCAACATAAAATTGGGCCCGGCGGCATGGCCTAGCAGCTAAGGTCCTCACCTTGAACACGCCTGGATCCCATATGGGCGCCGGTTCTAGTCCCGGCAGCTCCACTTCCCATCCAGCTCCCTGCCTGTGGCCTGGGAAAGTAGTTGAGGACAGCTCAGGGCCTTGGGACCCTGCACCCATGTGGGATACCCAGAAGAGGTTCCTGGATCCTGGCTTCGGATCGGCATAGTATCGGCCGTTGCGCTCACTTGGGGAGTGAATCATTGGAAAGAGGATCTTCCTCTCTGTCTGTCCTCCTCTCTGTATTTCTGACTTTCCAATAAAAATAAATAAATCTTTTTTTAAAAATCAACATAAAATAGATTTTTAAAAAGAGCTAATTGTAAGATCTGAAACTGTGAAACACC